GAAGTTCCAAGGAACCCGTCTACTCACTGGTTCCTTGGGCTTTGCCATGGTCATTGGTGCTCCTTTCACAGAGCTGTCTTCAGTTCATCATACTTCTCCTAGAAGCCCTTCTCTTTTGCTGTTTTGATAGATGATCTGTTAGTGGCATAAATCTATTAGGGGTCAGTAGATGATAAAAATTCTGTTTATTGTGAACCGAAACTTTAGTGTCCAAAATACCATCTAATCAGAAGATGTTTTTTCAATGGTAGGTATGTTGACAATCATAGCAGTTCAAACTACAATCTTGTCAACACCGGTACTCTCCAAATAATTGTGAAAGGATAGGTTGAATTCCACTGGGTTGACAAAAGCTTCCTTAGGGTTTGCCTCTAGCTATGTTAATATGGTTTCAAATAATCAGTCTTGGAATTTGTTTTACATCTTTTCTTTGGGGAATTCAATATGTTTTTCTCTGGGCGACCTGATCTTTTCTAGCAACCTTGTGAACTAGATTGGTTGAATTACAGGGAGAGATCCCAGCTTGATTTGTGTCTCAGCAGGATAATTTGAACCCAGAGATGGCTCAGTGGTTAAGACACTGGGCTTGTCGGCTGGAAAGCTGGCAGTCCAGGTTGCAGAGCCACATACCATACGATGGGATGAGTTCCCATCCTCGCCCTGCCAACCTAGCAGTTTGAAAGCATGCAAATGCGAGTAGATAAATAGGTACCACTTGGGTGGGAAGGTAACAGTGCTCCATGTTGTCATGTTGGTCACATGACCACGGAAATGTTTTCTGACAATTCTGGCTCAGTGGCCTTGAAATGGAGATAAGCAGTGCGCCTTATAGTCAGCAACGAGTAGTGGAGTAAAATCCGCAGGGACTCTTTACCTTACTTTTCAATAACCCAACATTAGAATTTATGGTGTTCTAGTGGAATTGGATTCAGAAACAGAATTAGTTAAAGATTGTATGGTTAAATGGGCTCAAAATTTTGAAGAGCCGATCTTATTAGATGCATGGGAGATAATTTGGGTGAGGAATGTTAAATTTACACAAGCTCAAAATTTACGAGAAAATTTTTACAAAATGTTTTATAGGTGGCACCTTGATCCACAGAAGATGTCTCGTATGTATCCAAATTTGCAGCCTAAATGTTGGAGATGTGGTTGTTTGGATGCAACGTATTATCATATTTGGTGGTCATGTAAAAATATAAAGGCTTTTTGGATTAAGATTTGGTGGAATATTCAAGAAATTTTTAATAGAAGGATAAAATTTACACCACAATTGTTTTTGTTAGGTGTTATTGTTGATTGTGATGATAAAGAAATTATTTTAATGTTGAACTTAATTACAGCGGCAAGGCTGTTGATAGGGCAATACTGGAAGAAGGAATCTTTGCCTACTTTAGAGGAATGGTTTCTTAAAGTTTCTTATTTATCTGAAATGGCAAAAATTTCGGCTTATTTGAAAGATCAATCACAAGAAAAATATTTTTTGGTGTGGAAAAGATGGGTGAATTTTATACAGCACAAATATGAGATTAAAAAGTATTGTCTAGCTTTTGAATAATTTAATTATTATTTTGTTTTGTTTTTATATATTGGAGTTAAAGTATTTAAAATTTTGTTTTTTGAATGTATTTATAATTGTTTGATGTTTATTTAAGTTGTAAGTTTTTTTTTTAGTTTTTATTAACCCTGTATTCAGCTCTGGGAAGAAGGGGGGAGGATGATGGGTGGGAGGGGTGGGTGGGAGAGGGAGATTATTTTATTGTAAAACTTTAAAAAATTTCAATAAAAAATAAATAAATAAATAACCCAACATTATTTTGTGCCTTTCTTCATTCGGGGATAAAAACTAGAATAGCTACAGCATTTTATTTGCTAATATTTAACCAGTTATCTTAGAATCTTGACCCCTCAGAGTTCACCGTATCTGTGCTTATCCTGTGGCCTCATCTTCTCTTTATTACAGCCATGGAAGAGGCCAGCACTGTGGAGGAAGGGGAAGTGACCTCAGGGATGCAATCCTTGGCAGTGGAAGATGGGCCTGCTCCAGATTTAGCTTCTGCCACTGAGGAACAAGATGCTGCTGCCAGAGAAACTGAGGGGGAATTATCAGGGAAGGGTGATGAATCTGCTGAAGAAGACTGGTGTGTCCCCTGCAGCGATGAGGAGCTGGACTCTCCAGATAACTGGATGCCCGAACCCAAGGAGATCCGCCATTTATATGAGCTGATTGCTGAACACGGGACTCTGGAGATTCAGGCCGAAATCCTCCCTCGGCGCAACCCAACCCCAGAGCCTGACAGTGAAGATGAGGATAAATCTGAAGGACAATCTGAACACCAGGAAGAAGAGGAAGAGGAGAAGTGAGAAATGGGTTTTTGTATTTGGCTTACAGGGGGGGAGGAATCTAAGATTTGAGGTTATTTTAAGGGGAGGAACGATAGGCTTAGATATTGCTAGGTTGATTCTTTTTTTCTCTGTTTGTTCCAGGCCTCATGTGCCTACTGAGTTCGACTTTGATGATGAGCCTGCCTCTCCCAAAAGCTCCTTGCTTGATCGACGGAGAGCTCCTGGTACGTAAGGAAGGCAATTGAGTTTCCATAAGAAGACAGAAGACCATTGCCAGGCCAATGAATTATGGAATACAGCATTCTGTATTCTCATCACTTGCTTATGGGAAGCCAATGAGCTGGGTGTGGGTGCAGTAGGATATCACCTATTGCAAATAGCCATAGTACTTAGACTTATATACCGCTTTATAGGCCCTCTCTAAGCGATTTACAGAGTTAGCCTATTCCCCTCAACAATCTGGGTCCTCATATTATCGACCTCAGAAGGATGGAAGACTGCATCAACCTTGAGCCAGTCAGGATCGAACTGCTGGCAGTTGGCAGAGTTGGCCTGCTATGCTGCGTTCTAACCACTGTGCCATCATATTCAGACCATTATATCATATTCAAATATAAACAAATCATTTGTTTAACAAATGGGAGAGGAGCAGTTGTTGAGGACCAATTTCACTTGCTATACACAGATAGTCCTTACAATCGTTCTTTTAGCAACCATTTGAAGTTAAAATAGCACTGAAAAAAATGATTGATTGTGTTTGGCCATGATTACTTGCGGCTGTGGACAGTATAATCATTCTCCATGACTTGATGTCTGGCCCTTTTATAATGCAAAGTTGATAGTCATCCCTCCTCCGATGGTAAGTTGATTGAAGAACTACTTCATCTTGGCTGTCCTGAATCTCCCACCATTTATTAGATGATTCCAGTGTCTAGCTTATGCATAATTTAACCCATGTAATCATTTTTATTGAAGTTGAAAACTCCAAAGAATGCCAGTTTGGTGAGTGGTTAAAGCACTAGGATAGAAACTGGAAGACCAGGAATTTTAGTCCCAGCCTAGGTACCTAGCCAGCTGGATAGCCTTGGACCAGTCCTGCTCTCTTGGCCCTAGCAAGGAAGCAATGGCAAACCACTTCTAAAAAACCTTGCCAAGAAAATATCTATGGAGATTGTCAGTCATCCAGGTCATGGTTGTCCCAAAGGTGATTTTTCATGAGGCAACTGGACTTTCTTGTTTTTCTTTGAAGACGTTTTGCTTCTCATCCAAGAAGCTTTTTCAGCTCTGACTGAAGAATTCAGCCTCACCATCTAGTCAGAGCTAAAGAAGCCTCTTGGATGAGAAGCTAAATGTCTCTAAAGAAAAACAAGAAAGTCCCAAGTACCAAGGATCAATACTGACTCGGTACATTGTGTGTGTGTGTTTGTATGTATGTGTATAATGGTTATATTTTCAGAGTCTGTGATGTCCTTCATCCACCTTTCCCATTAGGGTTCATTAAAAATAGTGGATTTTTAGAAAGAAGATCCTAGACAGACAAATGGTTTAAATCAGAGTTCACTGAACAAATGGTTGTAAGTTAAGGACTGTCTATATAAAAATGTATTGAGATAATTTATTGATAGGTAGCTAAGATGTCAATTTCTTAACCCAACAAATAAATGCTGTTGCTAGGCAGTTTTCTCCCACCTGCTTCCTCATGATTTTTAATTATTTTGCAATTCTCTGCAAGAACAGCAGGAAGTGCATTATATTTTTACCTTGCTGGCCTATTAAGCTAGTATGATATATGAACTTCATCTTCCATTCATGATTTGTGATTAATTTCCAGGGACATTAGCTAAGAGTCAGAAAAGAGAAGCCCGCCTGGACAAGGTGCTATCGGACATGAAGCGCCATAAAGTGCTGGAGGAGCAAATTAGGAAGACTGGCTGTGACCTCTTTGACCTTGATTCAGATGATGTACCCACTCCAAAACGGCCCTCTGGTCTCTTCCTTCGTCAGCGCAAATACTAATGGTAATGAATAAGAGGAGCTGAGAGAGGAGGATGGAGTGGAACTGTGGATTCAGATACAAGGGGAAGGAACTCCTGCATAAACTCGATGCATCGGTTAGTACCCTGGAATTTGACCCTGATCCCGTCTGGGTTGCTGGAGGTACTTGCTTTCAAGTTTTGGGGTGTAATAAAACTCAGTGAGTTTGTTTTTAATTTAATTTCTGTGAACTATTCTTACACTAATGGAAAGAGTTGCTAGTCAGGAGAGGATTTCACTTGCCATATAAGATAGTCCTCACAACTGTTCATTTAGCAACCATTCAAAGTTACAACAGCAGTGAAAAAACAGATGGCTGCTCCTTGCAGTTACAACCGTCCCCAAGTTCATAGGATCAAAATTCAGCCACTTGGCAACCAGTATGTGTTCATGATACTTGCAGTGTCCCAGGGTCACATGATCCCTATTAGCGGCCTTCACAGCCATCTTCCAACAAACAAAATCAATGAGGGAAGCTGGATTCACTCAACAACCCCAGCAATTCACTTAACAACTGGCAACAATTTTCAATCAAGTGTAACTCACTTAACAACCGCATTGCTTAGACACAGAAATTCTGTCCCAGTTTAGGTTACTTGTACCCCATTTTGTCTGCTCACCCTCAATCTTTCTGTGATTTCGGAGTTGAGATGAAGCCCTGGGGTGCCTTGTCACAAATGTCCTGTGATGTGAAAGGGCAGTGCAGCTGCTGGGACAATCCCTTGCCGTTTCTGAACTTGCAGGAGGCAAAAAGAACAGTTCCTCCCTTCGTGTGAATGAAAGGCATAAGTACTTACCTAGAGTTGCCAAGGAATATGGCCTTGTTAATCAGAAATCTTAAATGGTAACCAAACTCGATCAACTTTAATTTATAAACAATTTGCAAACATCAGCATGTTTACGTTTACATGCGTAGATGGAAAATGTGACTGTCATCTCCTCCACAACATAATGGAGAGAACACAGTGAGTCTTTTGTTCTCCTCACGGGAACTTGTTGTGTAGGAAAAAGAAAAACCGCCTTTAGAATTCCTGCTGGACATAATTAGACTTGGACAAATAGGCATAAATCTGGCAAATAAACTTAGCAGATTCCACTTCAAAAGTGTGAGATGCTCTTTTTTGTGTGCAGTGTGCTTCTTTTAGCATATTATCCATATACCCTTTAAAAGTATTATTTGAGGGATAATAAGATCCCATTGCCAAAGTTAAAAAAAAAAACCCTTAAGAACAAGTATAAGAGGTGAACAACAGTGACTCATACTGTGTGAGGATTTAAAACAAAATGTGTACAGGAATCTGATAGGGGGAAAAAAACGACAAAGACTTTTAAAAGATTAATAATCTTAAATGGAGTTTTTGGTGTAAGAAGAAAAGACTGAACTGACGTCTTACGAGTTTGGGAATCAGAAGGAGAAGGCAAAGAATAAGATAAGAGTAGGAGGGCAAATTTCTGTTTTTCTTTCTTTTGATTCATTTTTCTCTTTCTTTTTTAACTTTTTATACTTTTATTGTACAGGTAGTCCTTGACTTAGAACAGTTCATTTAGTAACCGTTCAAAGTTACAATGGCACTGAAAAAAGTAGAATAGAATAGAATAGAATAGAAATAAGAGATAGAAGGGACCTTGGAGGTCTTCTAGTCCAGCCCCCTGTTCATGACTTATGACCGTTTTTACACACTTACAACTGTCGCAGCATCCCCATGGTCACTAGATCAAAATTTGGATGCTTGGCAACTGACTCATATTTATGACCGCTACAGCATCCCGGGGTCATGGGATCGGCTTTTGCGACCTGACAAGCAAAGTCCACGGGGAAGCCAGATTCACTTAACAACCGTCTTACTAACTTAACAGCTGCAGTGATTCACTTAATAACTGTGGCAAGAAAGGTCGTAAAATGGGGCAAAATTCACTTATATGTCTCATTAATAACAGAAATTTTGTGGTCGTAAGTCGAGGACTATCTATACTGTAACATTCTAATTAAAAATATTTTTAAAAGTGTACAGGAAACATGAATGAAAAAGAGCTTGCTTGATCTGGCATAGTGATATTCCTGACGAATATGCGTCACATGTTCTCATATACTAGTACTATCGTATCAGTGATTTTAGTGATCTCCACCTTAACTCCTGCAGCTTTTAATCTCCATCCCATGTGATTTTCCCTCCTGTGTTTGGTTGCACTTCCCGACATCAGAATTTATTGCACTTTTTAAATAAACCTGGCTGATGTTAAAGAGTAAAATTGTGCCTTTAATCTCGTAAAGCACATCTTATGAGTAAGTTCTGAATGTTTTCTCCTGCAAGAAAAAAATGTCTGAACAAAAAAAAACATGAGTCTCTAAGGATTTTATTGGAATACAGCTGGCTGGAATTTTTCGAAATTAAATCCCTTAACACAAATGTTGAGCTACAGATATTATGTAAGAATAACAATTTGTCATAGACAGGTGGAAACAGAGTATTATACTTTGGTTAATTCTTACCCTCCTTTTCTTCCCAAAATAATCTTGGAGAAATCTATACTATTAATTCAGAACGTGGATTTCATATACTTCATTAAATTTGAGGGTAACTAGTACTAGAGTGTAGTCAGCAACATTCCCACCTGCACAGGCTTAACAGAACAGTGCCGTAAGACGAAAAAAAAACCCACAAGGAACTATACAATGCAAGAAAGGAAACCAAAATGTCCCAGATCACAAAAATCTCTAGATGAGTCTTATGAAAGGGCACAGAATCACCTTGAAGAAAAATACATTTTCATGGCTTTGCAAATTTCTTTGTGGCTTTTGCATTACACATTGGACCTTATTCAGTCTGCAAAACAATGAATCTAGATCAAGACAACAGTGTAGGGAGTGGTTGATTTTTTATGAGGAGCAGCAAATATTTGTGAGATTGTGTCCATGCCCCCAATACTTGTTAGGTCAAGCATCTATCGACCAGGGGCAAAGATATAATCTAATGCCTGTCGCTCAGGTCCTGCTACGTTGGGGTGCCAGAGATCAACAATAAAAATCACCTGAGGTCCATCGCTGGGGGAACCTGTAACAAAGATGGTTGCAATTATCATCTCACAAATAGTCCCAATGTTATATATAGCCGTCAATTTAATTTCAAATCCTTTTCAACAATTGGAGGAGATCTGACCAAAATGATGTTTCTCACCCTGATAGCTTGTCAGGTGAAATGAAAGAAAAAAATTACATCAATAAGACATAATTTGATGCTGCAAACATGGGATATAAATGGGGTTGGCTAGTTTGTGGTTTAGTGTGATACTTGCCAATCATATTTTAGAACAGCAATGTTGGACATATCCAGAAAACCCGCGCCATAATTAATGGTTTAGATTGTAGTTAAACTGCTTTGTGTGCCCAGATAATTCAGCAAAACTCTGGCCTAAAATTTTAAACTTTTAGAAAACTTGATTAGGAGCCACCCAGGGTTGGTTATAAGACCGGGGATGGGGCTATATAAATGTTTTAAATAAAAAGGTAAAAATAGTTTACGTGATACTCCTTGTACTACCTACCCACCTACTCATCATACTTACACTGTGAATCAGAGTGTTGGCCAATTATGCATGTTTGGTGATGTCATAAAATCACCAAAATAATAGAATACCAGAAAATGGGTAGGAGGATTTTGGCGCTACCTATTTTATCTTTGGACTTCACCTTTCACTCGTTTCAGCTCTGCCCATCATTGTTCCTGAACAGATTATTTTTGCAAGAAAGACCTTTCCCTGGAAATAAATAAAATACCCCAATCCTCAGTTAGGTGGAGTCTTAAAATTGTGCAATATACATTCTCTTTGGGAAACTTCCCGAAAACCTACACAGAGAATGGTAGGAGAGAAAACTATCTAGAGCAGTGGTTCTCAACCTGTGGGTCGGGACCCCATTTCACGGGGGTCGCCAAACAAGGCTGTCCACCATTTTTTTCCCCTTTGGCCACACCCCTGGCACCCGGTGATGTATAAGTGGTTGGGGGTCACCACAACATGGGGAACTGTATTATGGGGTTGCGGCATTAGAAAGGTTGAGAACCACTGATCTAGAGGTAGTCTGATGGTCGTGAATTTAATAGGATAGCATTTAATTGGATCCATCATACTCTGATACCTTTTAAAGAGGCCATGTCTCACTGGAGAAGTGAGATAAGAGACAGACAATCCACCTCCGTGTAACATTCCTAAAACTGAAATGTGCAGATGAGCACTCTTTTTCAGAACAAATTTATACAACGGAGAACTTTCAAGGAAGTCCTAGTCCCCAACTGTTTTGGGGGAAGTCAGATTTTTGAAGTCAACTCACTTCAGCCCTCATGCCTGCTTTCTGTGTTCTCTTACCATTATGGGCTGTGGTGTGCAAGAAGGAATCGTCCACCAGAAGGCAGTATCCTTCAGACCAGCACTGTGGTTCACCACCCACCACCAACTCACAACCAGGTGGCACTTTTAGCCCTAGAAGACGAATGAAGAGGCTGTGAGAGGGAGGCTTAATGAAGGATGCTTTGTATCCCACCTCCCACCCCACTCCCTCATACAAGAGAGAGAAGAGAAACATGCTGATTTAAAGCACTAATGATGGAAAAAACCTACGCTGGGAGAAAGAGGGAGCTGTCATTTGCAAAACCAAGAATGGGTATCCCATTTCGATATAGAATTTTTAGCACCCCCATCCAGAATTGTGGCCACAACCTGGGGAAGAAAGTTAAAAAGCCGCCTGTCTTGCAAACGACAGTCATAGCAGGCCACTTTAGCTGACTGTGTTCAGCAGGTCAGCGGTTCAAATCTCACCGGCTCAAGGTTGACTCAGCCTTCCATCCTTCCGGGGTAGGTAAAATGAGGACCCAGATTGTTGAGGGCAATGTAAATATATATATATACATTGCTTACTGGTGTACACCGCTTAGAGTGCTCACACTTAAAGCAGTATATAAGTCTCATAAATAAATAAATAAATAAATAGCAGGAATATAGAAATTACAGAAGATAATTGTCTACAGAGATTCTCAATCATCCAGGCCATGGTTGTCCCAAAGGTGCTTTTTCCAAAAGGCAACTGGACTTTCTTGGCTTTTTTTCTTTTGAAAACCTTTAGCTTCTCCTCCAAGAAACGTCTTCAGTAACCGAAGAAGCTTCTTGGATGAGAAGCGAAAAGTTTTCAAAGAAAAGAAGCATTTGACTTTTGGAAAAAGCACTTTTGGGACCACAGAAGATAATTGGAGACCTGGAAAAAAAGATCTGCACAACATAAAAAAAAAACTTTTCTGAAAAACTCTGTTCAAATCCTCCTGCCTTCATTTGAGATCAAATGCCTGAGATTTTAATGTGAGATCATGAAAATTTTTAAACTTTTAGAAAATTTTTGATTAGGAGCCACCCAGAGTTGGTTATAAAACCGGGGATGGGGGCTAAAAATGTTTTAAATAAAAAGATAAAAATAGTTTACTTGATGCTCCATGTACTACCTACACCACCTACCCATCAGACTTGCACTGTGAATCAAAGTGTTGGCCAATGATGCCCCTTTCTCATAGCACCTCCCCTGAAGAGGCATCCTACAAAGAATGCCTCTTCTGAAATGCCACACCTGCAGATTTTCTAAAAAATAAGATTTGCTTATGGTTTCTGGAGCAAATTCATCTGAAGCAGTGCTGCAGTTCACAACAATTATTCCAATCTGCTTGTTTGGCTGCTAGTAATTATAAATGGCTTAGTTAATAAAATAGAATAATAATGATAAACCAAGCTTATAAACAGCTCCTGTTTAGGGAACAAACGAGTTCAGGAATTAGACAGCATGTATTACACTGAAAGGAGATGCTGGCAATACAGGTTTTCAGATACTGGGGCCCCTTCCCTACCAAGTAGGCTCTGTGACTTGCCCCATTCATTGCTCCTCCAGCGATCGCTCACCTAGGTGGCACCGTACCCTGGTGTTCGTTGGCCCATAGGTGCCAGGTAGCACAGTTCCAGGCTGCAAGACATTAAAGCAGGCGTTTCCAAAGCAATTGGCGTTGATAAAGGTGCGTAGCGCGCTCAGTGCCCGATATGTCCATGGGCAGCTGCGGCAATTCTGTGCTATGCACTCCCCCTGTCGGTAGAGGTAATAACTGTGCCAGCCAGGGTTGGCGTTGACCATCCATCCCCGTGGCATTGGCGTTCCGGGTTCAAAGTCCCTTGCAATGCCCTCAAATTCCCGTAGGATGGCTGGGAAACTGAGTTCAAGAATCTCCACATCGTGACGCTGGGACTCGCGGGGAAAATAGGGGGCCGAAGGCAAGTCGGGGAGGTAGAAAGCGCTGGGCTTCTGGATTGCCATCCGTTCACCTAGCTGATAATGGGCTTGGTCCCGGATACCTTTATGCAGCCGGTTCATACCTGACCACGAATAGCGCTTGGCGTAATCTCGCAGGCTGCGATACAGGCGCTGATTGATGGCATCACCCCTGAGGGTACGGCGAGGGCATCCTTCGTCGGTCGGCACACCTTGTGGATGAGACACAGGGACTACCTGCCCTGTCCCCACACGATAGCAGTACCAGATGAACAAGAGGGCTAGAGAACCTAGCACAGCTATGGCTGGCTCTGGTCGAGAGTGCCAAGTAGAGGGGTCAGGGAGGAGCGGGGACAAGAGACCACGGAGACCCCAATCAGCCATAATGCTGGGCATCTTCGGGCAAAGTTAGAGCATCTTATGCAAATCTGCTGGCCTGCCCAACCATTCCGAATTGCCCAGGCCAATTCATAGGGTGCCCTTTCAACTCTCGTTTTCTATTTCTTCCTGCTCATTTCATATTTTGCTTGGCTGCTGCATGGATCTGTTCTTTAAATAGATGCCTGGTTTCTGAGCCTTCTGTCAGTCATTTTCACCACTTCTCTCCCTTCCACCATCCCATTCTTCTCTCCCTCTATCGCTGTATCCTCTTCTTCTAAACTGGTTCTCATTCTGTCTTATCAATTCTGTCTATCTCCTCTCATCTGCCTCCATTGCTGTAATTTCCCATCTGTTCTAACTCCGTCCTCACTAGTCACCTTCTCTGCTGGTGTCTTCCATTTATTGCAAGACAAATTATACCTTCCCCAGACAGATGTGTTTCCCCTCCCCGCCTTCTCCCTACCTTTTTTTAAAATCTCTGCCTGTTCATTTGTCCATTTCCCAGTCATTCCATCTTCTAATATTCTTGCCTTCTCTGTCTCTCCCCCAAATGCCTTTATCACTCTCTTCCCTGTGTGATTCTCTTTCTATCTCCTCCTGGCTGAACTCCTCCGTTGTCAATTGTCTACAGTAATTTCTTTTCATGCACATAGACTACCAGAGGCATCCGGAAAAGATTAGAGCTTCCTCCTCCCTCCCCCCTCCTCTAATCTGCCATCCCTCCCTTTGACGTCTTCCTCTCCTTCCTCGTATCAGCACAAGCCGCCCGAGTCTTCGCTGCATAAACAGCCATCCCAACCACAGCCCAGAACCCCCTGTATCAACAGTCTTCAAATGGGCATATGGTCTTCCTGAGTGATTGATCTCATCAGTAAGCAATCATTTCTAGGGTTTGGGGGTGGGCGTAGAATTGAACGATGAATTGTATAGGGCTGCAAAAGGTAAGTTGCCAGCTAGGTCTGCTTTAGACTAGGGCCCCTCCTCCGTCTAACTGCAGCATAGGCTCAGCCACGTTGGAGACAACCCCTGCCTGCAGCGCAGCCATCTTTCCACTCCCCTTCCCCCCCTCCATGCATTTCAGGTAGCAGTTGATTGCTACATCAATTGCATTTCTGAAATAAGTCTTTAAGCTGCACACCAATGGTTCCTGCTAATCGGAACTTTCCTGTGAACCATCCTTAGCATCTTTCTTAGCAGCTGCTGGTACCTATGTCCTAGCAACTGCCTGGCAACCACAGTGCCTCCTTAGCAACCATCCTCCCATAGCAACTTTCATAGTAACCATTGTGAGAGGAGATTAAGTTGAAGCCACCAAAGAGGGGAGGTTCTTTTTTCTGCCGCCCCCCCTCCACCCCTGAAGAGCGATCACATCCTCACCCCTACAATCTCTACATCTGTCCCTCTCTAATTATTTCAAGAGTGCATTTTTCATCTTGATTGTGTGCCTGGCTTCTGATGCCCCAGACAAAAAGGCCCAGGATGGGAGGGGTGATGGTGGTCATGTTGGTGATGGTAGACTTTTTATAGGAGAGTTATAATTGGGAGACAAAACCATGGAGTTGTGAGGGATGAAGGAACCCAGATGGGAAGTGGGAAGATGGAAAAAGTCACAGACAATGTTGGTGCAGAGAGAGAAAGAAAAAACAGCAATTTTAAGATGGATTTTGTGGAAGGGAAAATAAAAGAATCCGGCACAATATGGGAACATTTTAATAATAAACACAACATTTCTGTGCAATGCTAAATATTGCCTTAAAATTGCTGGGGCCTGTGGTTTGCAAATATCTAAAATAAACTAGAAGAGTATGAAAGTTCACACACACACAAAAAAAGCCATCAAACCCAAACCCACACTGAGAAATGCATAAGCTCAAATGGAGTCAGAGATTTTGCCAAATGCCTGCCTTGAATTTCCCAAAAATAACAGCCTAAATATTTGATAGTTTCTTGCTGAACCTCTTTTGGAAAAAAATCTATAGGCAATCTAAGGAGCTTGTTGTGTTTTACTCTTCTCATCTGCTTCTTTACAAGGAACGACCAAAATATTATTGGTTATTTTTGTAACAAAATGCATAACTTATTTTCAGAATTCTTGTGGGAGGTGAGGTTACAAATCATGAAATAAGATTTGCAACTTCACTAATAAAGTTTGCATCTGTTTTCCTCCTCAGAGGGTTTATTTTCTGTAAGAGAATAGGCCTTGAACAATTTCCCTTTATTATCTAGAAAAGGAGATTTATTTATACATTACCTTGGCAAATCAGGAAGTTGTGTTTTTTATAGGAACGGATTGTTACATACATTATGTTCCTCATTTTTTTTTAAAAAAAAACGTAATTTATTTTCCATATTGCCTTTTCAACCTATACTTATGGGCACCTGCTAGGATGGGGGCGTAGATTTATATTCTCTCTAATATTCAGAATAATGTGTAGATCCCATCCCAATTGCATCTGCAAAAAGACATTGCGTTTCATTGTCAAGGACAGAAGGGGGGGGAGAGAGAGAGTCGCTTTGCCAAACCACTGAAGGTTTTACATTTTTTTTAAAAAAAGAACCTTTCACGATATCCTTCTATTCTTATTCAAGTTTTTCCTGGTTTGGTACCAGAATTTATTGCAAGAAAGGAACAGAGAAGAGAAACTACCTGGCAATGGCAATAGATCTATAGGTGACTTTCCAGACGGGTATGTAGGTGGCGGAGCAAGAAGGATCCAATGCCTTTTCTTACGCAAAGAAATTCATTTTGGGCTCCCCTGTTTCTCTATTCAATGAGAGAAAAAGAGGGGTTCTGGGTTAAAGAGGCCTGACATCATGCTTCCTCTCAAAAATAATTTCACCGAAAGGAAATAGTCCATTGCATTTCTCTTTCTATAAGCGAAAAGGAAAGAGGGGGTCCAGATAACACAGTTAATCAGTTATGCAGCAAGCAGGAGCAGACTGCAGAAAAGGCACATTTCCAAAACACAAATAGAAAAAGCCTAGGTTGCTTTGGAAAGGCAAAAGAGAAAAATCCTACAGAACTAGCCCTTGCAAAGAAGCTACTGCATTTTCATTTGCTAAGCAGACTCCTAGCTCCACGGCTCCCTTGCCTGGCAGGAGAAGGAAATAGCCAGACTAGGTATTCTGCAGGTCTGAAGAAATCCAAAATGCGCTGTTTGGAAAAAGCAGGACCCAACATGCCTCTTCTGCTGCTGCTGCTTTGCTCCCTGTCTCTTCTACAAGGTAAGCGGGAAGCTTTTTAGCACAAGAGCTGGGGAGGGGGCAGCCGGCAACCCAAACGGAAGGGGCTTATTTCAATTTAACCATCTTTTGTATTAAAGGGAAAAAAAGGGGGGGGTGAAAATCCATCTTCATCACCACCAGCCCTCCCCTTCCCCAGTGCAAATGGCAGGTGGGCATGTTGTAAAGATGGTGTTGTAGGCAAGGGAAGCCTGTTTGAAAATATCCCTTTACATGGAGCAAAATATATATATGAATTTTTATTTCATTGCTTGGGGATGCACACATTTTTAACCAGCTATGAGGAAATGATGGTTGCAAGAGGATAAAAGAAAGGAATCAGTATTCGATGGTCTGTGATATCTCCTAAGGTGGAAAATGTGGAGGAGGGAAAGAGGGGGTTTATTCTCTGGGTTGTAGTAAGAAGCAGAATGTAGAAATCTGATGAGGAGCATGATCAATAGCAAGGAGGATGTAATTTAAGGTGCTCTTTGGAAAATGGAGAGGAATTCTATTTAAATAGCTGTAAAATCTACTAGAGAGACATCTGGAATCATCTTCACTTTACCTTATCCAATATCTTTAAGGAATTATAAAGGTTGGCAGTGATTTTAAGGGAAGTGATTATTTATAAAGGGAGGGTTGTCAGCTTGTTGAAGAAGATTGCAAGTGAAGCAGAAATTTGAGGCTGACCCTTGATAGGAAGTTACAGATATGACTGAAGATTTGATAGGTTTGAAAGCTGACCTGAATTTTTGAGCACCAGGGTCCAAGAAATGGAGTGGGATGAGATGTGAATAAATTGAACTAGGCAAAGAACAATGTTCCCCCACTGAGGGGAAAAAAATCTCTGGGGTTTTGCATGTAATGCTGCCAAGAAAAACAAATGCAATATTTACGCACTGCTAAACCAAAAAAGCAGAGTCCAGGTCAAAATGAGGGTGCTCCAATAAAGGACCACTCAGAAGGATAGCAAGCATAATGGCAAGGACTAAAGAGCGGGGGGGGGCATTATGAAACCATACAAAAGGGCAAGCTGACAGGCAACACATTTCCTGAAGAGGAGGTTGGCACTCCTGCAGCTTTGCAAATTCGGTGAAAGATAAGTTAAAATGTGCTGGATAGGTTAGGGTAAACACTGATGCAACAGGGAGTCACCTGTCAAAGGCCATTCAGAAGGTTGGTGGTAGGGAAGAAGGTCTCAGGAGCCAGAGTTTTGTGGGGCACAAGGATGGAAGGTAGTGATGGTGGTGGTGGTGGTGGTGGTGGTGGTGGTGGAGGAGGAGGAGGAGGAGGAGGAGGAGGAGGAGGAAGCAGCTAGGCGTAGGAAATCAAGAAGTAGGGATGGGATGTCATTCTTGAGGCAGAAAGATGCATAGATTTTTCACTTAGCTGTGAGGACACACGTTTTTTTTCCCTAGATTTCAGTTAAGAGTGTATTCTTCTCCTCCCCCACTCCCACCCCCATCACCATCATCCTTGTTGACTTGGGATGGGAGAGGTTGTGATACAGCACCCAGACGGTGCTGAATGTGGGAAATGAAATCCCAGCAAGATATCATCTCACATCATCTCTCTATTAGAAGCTTTGCCCTCTCCAGAGGCATCACCACTGGATTTTGACCAGTTGAGCAAACAAAGGTGGGGAAACCCTTTTACCTCAGGACCAGCAAGTCAGGCCTTTCCACTCCTCAGAGCACCAGCCATTTGACTGAGGGAATAGCAAATGCACTGTGCACCCAAGCCTGTGAGGCAGCTGGCCTTCTTAATAGAGAGAGCTCAGAGCAATTAAGGGTTTGTCAGAAGCTGCCCAGATCCCACATGCTGGCAGTTGCCTGCAGCGGCTACAGCTGTCAGTTCTGAACTTGTCATATCCAGACAACCCAAGTGATGTGCATCATTTGAGGCCTTTTAGGTCCCTGATCAAATCTGCAGACTTCTCTGCTCTTCCAAGCAGGAATGGCCACTTCCAGTCGGTTATTGCCCTTCCACCAGTAGCCTGCCTCCTAGCCATAGGCTTTTGCTAAGCTCCTTGTTCCCTTCTATTTATTCAGCATGAAGCAAAGTTTAAGGTATAAATATGAAGCTAAATGACTCAGCTTTCTGCAGCAAAAGAGAAGGGAGGCAACATTCACAAGATCACTTTTACACATGTAGGTCTCCAGTGGGTATCTGAGCTACCAGATTTACCCTCAAGACATCATAGCTACAAATCATTTGCCTCTTTTCACAAGGGAGCTATCCAGTTTGCTGAGAAGACTGCATAATTTAGACAAATCATTCCACCTTAATTCACTTTAATCACCAGTTCTGTTAGATTGCCTGAGTCTTAACAAACTTTCTGTTTTGTACTCTTTCACCATCTAATTCAGTGGTTCTCAACCTTTTTAATGCCGCGACCCCCAACCAGTCGTAAGTCGAGGACTACTCAACCGGTCGTAAGTCGAGGACTACTCAACTGGTGCAGCACCGTTTGTAGAATGGGACTTTTGGTGGGCTCAGCAGGGCAGAGACAGCCTGGACAATTCCTGTTGGCTTTTGAAAGCCAATAGAATTAGACTCTATTTAAGAGAGTCTATTCTATTGTCTTTCAATAGAATAAAAGGGAGTAGCACAGTTAAGGAAAAGGGGAAAAAAATGGTGGACTGCGTTGTTTGGCAACTCCCGTGAAATGGTCGTTCGACCCCAAATGGGGTCCCGACCCACAGGTTGAGAACCACTGATCTAATTGCTTATTTAGCTGGCATGGATAAAGAGGAAATTTTCTCTTAATAAGTTAGCAAATGGTTTTGTCTTTTTTATGATTGTGGAACTACTCAAGTTACTTTTTGAGGACAACATACAGATCACTTTGGATTATGAGGATATATCCATTATTTTACATTTTACATTTTTTATTATCCCCAACTATGATTGTCAATAAAAATGTGATTAAACTGCAGTTCAAAGTATTGTACTCTGGGGAGTCATCACTTTTAAACTACATTTAAGTTTGTAACTGTTACTGTTTTATTTCATTAATTTGGCCAAAGAAACATGGAAAATAAATTGGGGTGATGATGGTGAAGGTATATGCCACATTTTTTAAGGAGCTACTATCACATGTTTAGGATTTGGCCTTAGAGAATTTAAGTTCATAGAATCATGTTTCTGATTCTTATTTCTATGTCAACTATTTGCCTGGGAAAACAGATTATATCTATTTGGAAAAAGAAAAATGTATGTGGCCCAATTCTCCTGTTGTAACAGATGGAGTGCTCCCAATGCAGTTTATAAACTCTATCTTGAAAGAACCCTGCCCTCTAAAATCTTTCCCAATGTTAGCCATTTTAAGAAGTGTGGACTTCAATTCTCAGAATACCTCAGCCATTGTTGGGGGTAATCTAAAATAACAGCTGTAAAATAACCATGGAAGCATTCATAGTGCAAAAGAGAAGGCCTGAATGTGGTTAGAAGAACTAGCATAGTCAGTGATTAGTATACAAGCATTGCATAGTTTACCTATGTAATTTCATCTTAAGAAATTATACAAAATAAACCAAGAATGCCCAGAAGACACTTAGCTGCTGTTGAAAGACCTGGCAAGACCACACACAGCATTATAAAGTACTTCTTGACTTATGACCACAATTGGAGCTTTTGTTACAAGCAAAGCAGTTGTTAAGTGAGTCATGCCCAGTTTTATGACCTTTGTTACTGTGGTTGTTAAGCAAATCACCAAAGTCATTAAATGAGTTTGGCTTCCCCCTGTTAACTTTGCTTCTCAGAAGCCAGTTGGGAAGATCACAAATGATGATCATTTGACCACAGGGTGTATAACCTTTGTAAATACATGTTGGTTGCCAAGTGCCCAAATTCATGATCCTGTTGATCACAGGGATGCTGTGGTGGTCATAAGTGTGAGCACCAGTCATCACTTTTTTCACTCTGTCACAATTTTGAATGGCCGTTAAATGAATGATAAGTCAAGACTATCTATAAATGGCTAGGCTCAACCATAGGATGGTGACAACTCTTTTGTTGAAAGCTCCTCTTTTTTCTATCAATGTGCTGCCAAAGGAAGAGGCACCAAGGGGCCAGTGGACAGAGAAGAGCATTCGGTGTACAGGCAGTCCTTGATTTACAACCATTCGTTTAGTGACTGTTCAAAGTTACAACGGAATTGGAAAAAGTGATTTGATAGTTTTTCACATTTACAACGATTGCAGCATCCCCATGGTCACATGATCAAAATTTGGGCGCTTGGCAACTGCATGTATTTATGATGGTTGCAGTGCCCCAGAGTCATGTGGTCACCTTGTGCAAACTTTGGACAAGCAAACTCAATGGGGAAATCAGATTTACTTAGCAACTGTATTATTAATTTAACAACTGGAGTGATTCACTTAATAACTGTGTCAAGAAAGGTCATAAATGGGACGAAATTCACTTAACAACTGTCTTGCTTAGCAACGGAAATTTTCGGCTCAATTGTGGTTGTAAGTTGAGGGCTAACTGCAGTTGTGCAGGATTGGACCAATGTGTAAGGAAGGCAGACCAAGATTATAGGCCTGGATGGACATTAGGTTGTAAAGCATAAATAAACAACTAAGATGTAGGCCTGTCTGTTGCTATAGAAACTTCTTACGTGATTTGTACCCCTCTTCTCTCTCTCTCTCTCTCTCTCTCTCTCTCTCTCTGTATGTGTTTATGTGTGATAAGTTGACCAACTTTTTTACAATGAGGAGGACACAAATAAATTGGAGAAAAAAATATCGTAAATAAAACATTTTATTCATTGCAACAATACAGAATACACTATAATATGATAAATGCATAATAAAAACATTTGTAACAATAACATTTTATATTGTAATTATGCTTACATGCCTATTAATTATTATTTAAATGAGTACAAAAGAAGGACTGTCCTCCCTAAAAGAGGACGATCGGTCACCTTAAACCTATCTCACAAAACTGGTTGTTGTGCTGCCATATCTGGGCCACAAAAACCTACAACATGGGTGTCCAATCTTTTGACTTGCCTGGATTGCATTGAATGAAGAGTTGCCTTGGGCTGCATATATAACATACATAGCATAGTTAATGTATATAAATCACATAAAAATATATAAAGTTTATGATATTTGGGAGCTGCATTAGTAGATGTCCAGAGCTAAATGCGATCCACAGACTGTGGGTGGCACCCGCCTGACCTAGAAGGTCATACATTCTTAGCTTTTTATAGCTCTTTGCTGCCATCTGTGGCTGTCTAGGATTTTGCAGCCCAGAAAAGCCCGTCCCAGGAAAAATGGTGGGAAACAGTGCTATGCATGTTGGTTCGGGAGGGAAAGTGCAACCTTGCTAAATTTAGCAAATTTACAATTTTCTTCTCTGTGGACTTATGAGGCCAATGTGAGAAGAATATGGAGGACAGGCCACTATTAACCCTTTGTCTCCTGCAGGCCTGCCTCTCTGGGAAAATGAGGATGCTACTCCGTCCCCGCTGTTGGAGGCCCTCTCATCAGAGGCCATGGAGGGACCCAAGGAGGAGGAAATGGGGGTGTCAGCAGAGGTGCGGGGGTCCCCGTCCCCCAGTCCCGAAGGCCTCTCTGAATTGCTGCAGGGGACACTGCTGAGAAAAGAGTTTTCTGGGGGCGAGGTGGTGGAAGAGCCAATTCCTGGTGAGAAAAAATAAAGAATTTGGGGAAGGGGAAGGTTCTGTCTGGGATGGGACTATTTGTAGAAGAGAGGGTGGCTTGGGTTGAAGAGAAATGGAGGGGCAGGGATGATTCTTGGAGGGGGATTGTGGGCCTATTATAAGGGGAGATGTCATTGTCAATCATAAAGTTTGGCATTGCACTTTTAAAAAGGGGTTAATGATAGTTCTGTATTTGCACATTGGTTTTTCTGCCAGTTTCATGGCAGAGAGGACATTTTTTGGGGGGGAGGGAGGGTATGAGAGGGTTGCAGTGTTTTTACCTGCTCTGTTCTGACTTCCCTGCACCCCTTCTTTTTAACTGTCTCCTCCTTGGTCCTAGGAGGACAGTCTTCTACTTTGTCCCCATTCCATCCTCCCATCCAGCATCTAGATGGTGGGATGGTCCTTGAGACCTCTGAGGCCACAGCCACCAGCCCCTCCCCGCTGACCACCGTTGCCCCTCCCACTGGCTTCCTACTCACCACCCCTCCAGCTTCAACAGCAGCCGCTTCACCCCGGTTGCCCTCTCCACCGGACGAGATGGGTTCTGCCAACCGGCCCATCTCGGCCACCACCACAGCCTTCATCCCTGAAGGTGAGGAAGAGACAACCACCACCCTGATTACTACGACGACTATCACGACAGTTCACACCCCTGGTAAGTGATATGAGTGAGATGCAAAGATTTCAGAAGTGGGCAGAAAGACAACTTCATCCTGATGTTCTCCCATCCCTTACCCCAGCACCTGCCCACCCAGCAGTTTGAAAGCATGCAAATGTGAGTAGATAAAAAGGTACCACTTCAATGGGAAGGTAACAGCATTCCATGCGCCACGATATATAGTCATATGGGCCACATGACCACCGAAGTGTCCTTAGACCAGGAGTCCTCAACCTGTGGGCCATGGCTCACTACTGGCCTATTGGCCAGCGAGCCACGTGAGTGGCTGGCTGGTGCGTGTATATGTGCATGTGTGCGCACAGCATCACTTGTGCGAGCCTCACTGTGAGGGCTGTAGTAATTCACAGCCCCACTTGCCTGAACATCACTGCAAACATCACGAGTGCTTGTGGCCCCACTTGCATGAGTAATGGGTGTTGGTGTGCGTGCACATGCTCATGCATGCATTCACCTGCCCCAAACCATCCCTTCCCCCCCTCCCCCCAGCTAGGGCCGCCAATCCTGAAAAGTTGGGGAACTCTGCTTTTTTAGACAACACTGGCCCTCCTGGCTAAGAAATGGAGATGAGCACTGCCCAGTTGGAGACGGCTGGGCAGGGGAAACTATTACCTTTACCTTTATCATTCCCCAGCCAAAAAGCCTGGATGACCCATAATGAGTCACCAAATAGTGGTAGGCTGGACATGGTTGAAAAATAGGGACCATCCTGGATTAAACTGACTTCACTCTTCTTTGTTTCCTTGCCTGCCTCCCTCCCCAAGTGCTTTGCAACAACAACATCACCGACATTGAAGGCTATGTTGAATCTCCCGATTACGCTGGTACTACCTTTTATGGAGGCCTGGATTGTACTTACACCATTTCAGTGTATGTGGGCTACGGCATAGAAGTACAGGTGAGAAGTGATGAATTGGTCAACACCGAAGAAGTTAAAAGTATGTCTGAAGTTGGGATTGATCATTCTTTTTCAAAAGTGTTTAGAAATAGACAAAAATTAGCAATAGCTGACCATGTTGCAGGTAATCCTTGACTTACAACCATTTGTTTGGTGACCGTTCAAAGTTACAATGGCACTGAAAAAAGTGACTTAGAACTGGTCCTTGCACTTACGATCATTGCAGCATCCCTACGGTCACATGACCAAAATTTGGGTGCTTGGTAACCAGCAGATATTTACAACAATTGTAGTGTCCTGGGGTCATGTGATCACCATTTGCAAGCTTCCCAGCTGACCTTTGACAAGCAGAGTCAATGGGAAAGCTAGATTTGCTTAACAGCCACATGAGCCACTTAAGAACTGCCGTGCTTTGCTTAACAACCATAGCAAAAAGGTCATAAAATTGTGTATGGCTTGCTTAGCAACAGAAATTCTGGACCTAACTGTGGTTGTGTGTCAAGGACTATCTGTAGGCTTTAGTGGCATTTGGCATGCTTTGAAAACAGGAGCACAGCACCTCCCTGCTGTTTGGAAAAGCTGTCTGTTTCAGGAATCTTTGCCAGGCTATAAAAAAAGATGCTGCTCCTTTAAGAGTTGTGTTCATTTAATGCAGTGGTTCTCAACTTTTTTAATGCCGCGACCCCCAACAGGTCATAAGTCAAGGACTACTCAACCGGTCGTAAGTCGAGGACTACTCAACTGGTGCAGCACCATTTGCAGAATGGGACTTTTGGCGGGCTCAGCAGGGCAGAGACAGCCTGGACAATTCCTATTGGCTTTTGAAAGCCAATAGAATTAGACTCTATTCAAGAGAGTCTATTCTATTGGCTTTCAAAAGCTAATAGAATAAAAGGGAGTAGCACAGCTAAGGAAAAGGGGAAAAAAATAGCGGACTGCGTTGTTTGGCGACCCCCGTGAAATGGTCGTTCGATCCCAAATGGGGTCCCGACCCACAGATTGAGAACCACTGATTTAGTGAATGGATTCTTTAAAAGCAGCATCCTCTTTTTTTCCCCCTCAGGCTTGCGCTGAAAGCTGGAATAAAAAACCAAGCTGTTTTAAGGAACACCAAAGTGATATTATACTGATAAGATAACCTTTATTGTTATTTTTTTTACTATAGCACATTGGCCCAGATTAAAAATGAAATTCTGTTGCCTGCTGTCAAAAGAAAGTATATATCTACCCATACACATACATAGTTGTCCAAGAATCAAGGGACTTTGGAAACATTTCTGAAGCGTGTCCAACCCTGTGCATTACATGAATATTTGGTTCAAGTCCTGTTTTGGAGATGGGCTTCCACTTGCCTCCTCCATTCCCCATAGCTTCCTGATAATATTTGTTCTTAATTTTAGATTCTTGAACATATTAAAAAATATGAGAAGCATTTAAGCAAGTGTGTCCACTTTCTTATTCTTCTCCCTTCCTTTGTCAACTTCCATGACTTCCAGGTGCAGACTCTGAACTTATCCAAGGAGGATTCACTAACTGTGGAAGGTCTGGGAGGAGAGAAGCCTATTGTCTTGGCCAATGAGTCATTGATGGTTGAGGGGCAAGTGATCCGTAGCCCAACCAATCAGGTCCTGATTCATTTCCAGAGCTACCACACCACCACCCCTGGTGTCTTCAGATTCCACTACCAGGGTAAGGCATGACTACCTCCTCATTTCACCTTCCTTTAAATGAACTTTCCCTACTTAGTCTTCCTCAAAGAGTTGGGATTCCAACTCAAAACCTCCCAGGCTGATTATGGTTGTCTGGACTGCACATTATGGGAAGCATATCCCATAGGTGCTTTTTCAAGAGGCAACTGGACTTTCTGTGTTTTTCCTTGAAGATGTTTCACTTCTGTCCAAGAAGCTTCTTGGATGAGAAGCTAAACATCTTTAAGAAAAAACAAAGGAAGTTCAGTTGCCTCTTGAAAAAGCACCTTTGGGACAACCATGACCTGGATGATTGAGAATCCCCATAGACATGTGAGAAGCAAGTTCCATACCTAAATAAAATGATGGGGAATTTCTCATCCCATTGAGCAGTGAGACCTTTTCCCAATACCTGAGGACCGAGAAAGCAATGAGATGGAGGATTATAATTATTTTTTCTGGATTGGACTGAGGTTTTGGACTGTTCTAGCACCTGTGTCACAAAGCCAGACCTGGTAAAAGCTGATTCTCACCTGGGTCATTCAGAACAAAACTGGACATTATGATATCACTATATCTACACTATACATATTTCATGTATTATTAGGATTGATGGGTTTGTCTCAGTGTAGCCCTATCTAATTGCATGCACATTTCTCCAAATCCAGGCTGCTGTACTTATGCATGAAATGGGGAGGGAGGCCTCATCTGAAAAGCAAACGGGACATATAATATAATTTCCAGAAGCTCTTTTCCTTAGATGTGTTCTAATCCCAGAAGCACTGGAAAGAAATCTCTAGAAGATGATGGCAGTGGGTTTAACAGGGCTTTATCTGCCTTACAGCTTGACTAATTTACATAAGAGTGAAAGAAAATCCTTCCTGTAAATCCAAACCAGAAGGAACCATATCTTGCTGAAAAACAAACAAATAAAAAGAAAGCCAATAAACCCATTTACAAATCAAGGATATATGCACCCAATGACATTCAAAGCAGATGAGAACTTCCCCGGGTCCATCATATCATAACACAGAAATTCTCATCTACTCTGAATGTTATATGGTACAAAATTCAGTGTGCACACTGTGTGTTGAAAAGACTAATTTGAGGCAGCGGGCATACCGAAAATGAACAAAAACCTATTAACTGTTCTCTAGGTGCACAAATATTTATCAAGTACTGGAAGAATTGAGGAATGCATATCGTTCCTTGAAGGCATTTTTGTTGAGCATAATTACCTGTTATATTTCCCTGACTGTAACCTTCCTATCTCCCAACCCCAGCTTTCCTGCTCAGCTGTGGCTTCCCCAGTAGGCCAGAAAATGGGGATGTCATGGTAACCGATCTCCATCCAGGGGGCTCTGCCACTTTCAAATGTGAGTCAGGTTTCCAGTTGAGGGGTGAAGAGATACTCATTTGCCTCAACGTCAGCCGCCCTCTATGGAGTGGCACCAGCCCTGCATGTGTGGGTGAGTGAAGAAATAAAATGAACTAGGAAATGCGGCCTTGACAAAAGATTGGAGCGGTAATGGACAAAAGGGAGAGCATTTTAAAGCTTTCTGAGTCCCAGGGGCAGAACGTTCTTTGGAGAATCCTTTCTTCCTTCATTATATGAAAATTATTTTTTTTTTTATTTTTGGCATTTTTTTAATCCACTGATACCAACGGCCCAGTTAATGGGGGCATGAGTGCAACTTCAAAATGCCATAATAATTGTCGGAATTATAATTTTTTTAATGGATGAAGTTTTCCGCTAATCAAAAGTATCTGTCTGGCGGATTGTCTCAAATACTGAATTATCATTTGGAAGCTAAGAATCTTTTGGCTCAGCAGGGGACCAATTTAAGAATTTGCTGTTGAAGAAAAGAGAATTATTTTGTTTTCTTTTGCCATTTATAATACTGACAGATGAATTTTGGTTCCTCCACTCTGTGGAGTTAAAGTGTAAAGATTTATACAGTAATGAATGATGCAAGAGCAAGGCAAATAACACTTTTTCCTCTAAATGTTAAAACAGGCAGTTACACAATGAACGGATTGCCAATATGTTCAGAATGAAAATGTTTCTTTGCAGAATGCATAATTTATTGTCACAAGGTGCAGAAAGACATAAAATTAGACAAATTAACAGTGGATAAAGCCTCAATAGCTATTTTGTCATGGAATGGAAGCTTTATATTTAGAGATATTGCCAGACATTCTGGGCAAACACCCAAGGCTTTACACAATAATATCCTTCTAGTGATTTTCTAAGAGTATTTAACTGGCCTCAGTTTGAAGAATAATGCTGGGCAAAATAGGTCTTTCAATAATGCTCAATTTTTCCTGTAAGTTTGAGCACCTTGAACAATTGCAAATGCTCCATGGAAAGTCTAAATTATAGATCCAGGATCTTTGGGATTTAAGTTTAAATTTTCCATACTAGCTACAAAATCCTAGGCAATCCAAGACACCCATGGTCAGGTAAAATCTGACTTTTATATTCTTTGCCAATCACATAAAAATGTATCTTGGCTAGGGATGATAAACGTATTTGCAATGTACATGATAAATGTATTTACAAAGAATGAAGACCTTAATGATATTTGGTCATTTTTTTTTTGCCAAGTGGCTTTGAACTCTAAAAGGCAATGTTGAAATAAGGAGCCTGGGAAGTGTTAGGGGTTGGCTTAGCCAGGGATTCAGGATAAAACATAGTTTTATCTGGGTAAAACTACTATTTCTCCTGCCAAAATGAAATCTTAGAAGGACCTTTCTAAGGATGCATGAAATGATAAGCAGGATTCTGGATTCTAAGAATTCTAGGGGAAAGCGGGACTTGTAAAGAACATCTAGCCTTCCTCCCCCTAGCTTCCTGTGGAGGAACAGTTCACAACGCCACTCGTGGACGCATTGTGGCTCCAGAGGCCCCAGGAGGACCACGTGGTCGGAACCTGACCTGCCGCTGGTTGGTGGAAGCACCTGAAGGCCAGAGGCTCCATCTACACTTTGAAAGAGTGGCGCTGGATGAGGATAATGACAAGTGAGAAAATGGAAAAAGGGGGATGAGGGGGTGAGAAGATAGAAAATTGACAGGCAGTCAAGCATGCCATGGAAGTGAGAGTGGAGAAGGGAGCAGAGAAAAGAGAAGATGGGGTGGCATCAGTTGAGGACCAGCAGGAAGGATTGAGATACATTTCAGAGAACATCAAGAACCTTGCCTGGTGCAGGGAGGAGAGATGAGAGCAAAATCAGTCTGTAGGACATAGAAGAAACAGGAGGAGAAAGATATTTTTGTTTTCCCATAAAAATATGATGGACTTTCATGAAACACTTGAAATTTAGAATTTAGAACTGTCCTTAGAGAAGGGATGAGTGAACTGTTAAGGAGAAACCTGAACAAGAGATTACAATGGCTTTGCCTTATGGCTAAAGTGAGAAAGTTGGACAGCTTTTCAAGTTTGATGCCAGCCTTTCAAGACTATGACACCGCAGGGATTCCAGGAATGCTATTTTATTGTTAGAGAGTATAATACCCAAATCTTGCATTGTGAAAACTCTTATTTGAATCTGTTATGGTCCACTCATACCTTTCTCAAGGTTTGCTCTGAATTTGTTTACACACAGTATGTCATGTACCCTGAGTTGGAGAGATCTGTATACCCAAATCCTTTACCTTTCCCAGGCTGATGATCCGCAGTGGGAGTAGCACTTTCTCCCCTATCATTTATGATTCTGACATGGATGATGTCCCAGAACGGGGATTGCTAAGTGATGCTCAGTCCCTCATTGTTGAATTGGTCAGTGAGGGACCCGCTATGCCCCTCATCCTTAGCCTGCGCTACGAAGGTGAGAATGTAATTTTATTAACCCCTCCCTGCATTTTACTTGCTCAAAAATAGTAGAGGCGAGAAAACAGTGATGCTGTCTTCTCTCTTGGCAGTAGATTCTGACAGTTGCTATTGGTAACTTTGGAAAGTCACCAACTCGAACGAGCATGATAATATGCAATACTGTTGTGAGCTAAGTGTTGGAAGCTTATTTTAGTAAAACAAAATTCCGCTTTGTCATTTGGGGTTGGATAAATTACTAGGGTGCCATGATGAGGCCATATGCCACTGACGGGCTAAAACTCGTCATGCTACAGAACCCATTCTGTTATGCTACAGAATGCATGACAGTTCTGGGAACTCATTGGTTTCACTCCAGATTCTGTAAAGAAAAGAGAAGTTTTCAGTGTGGTTAGGACAAAAAAAATGGGATCAAGACACATGAAAGCGAAGAAGCAAAGAGTCCACAAGGAAGGATACAAGAGGAAGGGTGGAGAATGGGAAAGACAGGAACTTCAGCAAAAGGTCGGAGGCAGGGAACCCAGACAAGAAAGAGGTTACCAGGGAGAAAGGCTGGTGGTAGCTTGAGGGAGAAATGAATTTAAGTAGCATTGATTCAGGACTTGAGCACATGTCCTACAAGGGTAGACTGAAGGAATTGGGAAGAAGGTTGTAATTTATTGGAGAAGAGAGCCAAACAGAAAGATGGCTCTGGCAGAAAAAAGGGACTGAACACATGTAGGGAGTGGGTTTTTATACCCTCTGGAGCCTTTTGTTTGTGGAATTGTTCTTGTGGCATGAACTTTTACCTGAGTCTGAGTGTGCCTTTCTGGTATTCTGATGGTGATGGGTTAATCTTATTATGTCCAAGGATCATATCTTGCTTCCCTGGGGCTGGGGCTGGGGCTGGGGCTGATGAACTTCCTTAACAGTTCCTAACAGCTAAGTTGGCTGGGGAATTCTGGAGGTTGAAGTCCACACATCCTCAGGTTGCCTAGATTGAGAAACGCTGGTTTACTGTGATCAGAAGAAGCTGTGGGTCAATACCTAGAGCTGGTTTCTCTTCCAATCACATGAATATTGGAGGCAGAAAGAGGATAAAGTTTGAGAAAGCAACGTTGGCAGGAAAGAAGTGATAAGACGTAGAAGGTTGCTGAAAGGATACAAAACTTTAGACAACTTTAGATCTGACTTGACTGCATTCTTCTTGTGATTTGACCAAGATGTGGTAATGTAGTTGAACTTGTAATAGTTGTACCAAGTCAACAATAAATGTAGGATTGATCCCATCTTCAAGGAGATATTACTGTAATATTTTACTGCAGTGGGAGAGAAATCAGAAGCTATAACCTTTATAAGGACAGTTTTCTGACCTTTTTGCTCCCCCTGGCGGCAGCTTTTGATGAAGATCGATGCTATGAACCGTTCCTGGCCCATGGAAATTTCAGCACATCAGACCCTCTGTATCGTACAGGGACCATTGTAGAGTTTGCTTGCAGTGCAGGATACATGCTTGAGCAGGGTCCTTCGGCCATTGAATGCATTGATTCAAGAGACCCCCGCTGGAATGAAAGCGAGCCCACCTGCAAAGGTAATCATTCTTCAACTCAAATTCTCTGCTCAATTTTCTTCTGGAGCCTGATGCATGATGTCTTTTCTTCTTGATTGCTCTTTTGTGTTTCTGCCCTGCTGCCTGAAAGAGTAATGGTGTGCGCCGATGGGGCACAATAGGCCTGAGTAAATTAAGATGCTATGTACTGGGTTTTACGAATTCAGGCAGGTGTTTGAACAGCTGAGCAAATTAGGGCAGAGGCAGAAGCCAACATAATTGGAAGGAGAGGAGAGTTGTGGCAGAGTGTGGATCTGACAAGATCTATACAAAGTCTGGTAATTAAAATGGGACAGCTGCAGGTTCTAAAAATGCCACTTTACAAGCAAGAATAGAGCATGATCTAGAAAGCTATTTGCATAGGCTGAACAGATCTGGAAGCAGATAGTCACATTAGAGTTACTAGAGCCCCACTTATCTCCTTTAGAAAGGGACTGAAAAGGCTAAATAATCTCACTATTCCCTTCATCATTGATCAGAAGTGGGTATGGCTTAATTACAATATTGTTTGGAAAGTATATTCTGATACCTTGGCTGAGTGTGGGAAGGGTGTTACTTTCTCTCTCTAACTCTTTTTCTTGGAGGACTAGAGATGCACACCAGGTTAGTTGGCTGGACTTAAGTGTTCTCACAACACAACTGACTGGATGGAGTTAGTTGAACTATGGGTATGAGTGCCTGGCTTTGTTTATGACTAAAATTAACCCCCTAGAGCAGGGGTCTTCAAACCTGGCCCTTTAATGACTTGTGGACTTCAACTCCCAGAATTCCTCAGCCAGGCATGCTGGCTGAGGAATTCTGGGAGTTGAAGTCCACAAGTCATTAAAGGGCCAGGTTTGAAGACCCCTGCCCTAGGGCATGGCTCTCTGAGGAGTTCTGGGAGTTGACATCCACAAGTCTTAAAGTTGCCAGGTTTGGAGACCCCTGCCCCAGGTGTTTTAGGTCAGCTGACTCCTTTTTGGTGGTTCTCACAACATGCTACTGTAACATCCTTCCTCCACATTTTGTGGGGCCACTCTTATTTTAATCCAGAAATATAAAATACTTTTATATAAAATATAAAAGTCTAAGATAATATGGCCAGAGCCTTCAGTTTCCTTCCTATGGATTCAGCTGCAACCTTTTGAAAGAATTAAGAATGACTTACAAACCAACAGCTACATTTGGTGAGGAAAGGAATGTAATGCCCTTTCGTGCCCCCCTCCGAGTACAGCAGAGATGGGACATCTGTGATGCTTCAGATATCACTGAACCCCAGGGGTGTCATCAAGAATGACTAAATGTGCTGTGGAGACTTTCAGCATCTACACATTTTGAAAACTGGGTTCCACCTTCTACTTGCTCGAACAGGCAGGACTAAAATATTTCTAAAAAATCCTAGAACGAGAAAGAACACCATTTGTCTTCCCAAGATACCTTTCTGCTAATTCCAGTTCAGGTCTTTTCTTTAATGGCTGGGAAGCACGTGGACACTGAAAGGGCTAGGAGATGTGATTCTCCAGGTAGCGAGTCCTTCTTCCCTCCAGCTATGAGTCACGTGCCTCTGGAAGTCCACATTCTCTTCTTCAGGAAGCTGAGAAGTTAGGCAACTGGACTAGATAGAACCTGGCACTAGTAGGCAGCTAGTTCCCCTATCACCCATCATGAGGGCACTTCAATCCAGGAATTCTGGAGTTGGGCACAGGAGCCAATCATTGCTGTGATGCTCATTTGATATGGCGCCATTATGCTTCAGCCCAACAACTCAACTCTTGCTAGTGTGAGGGTGTGAAAGCAGAGCATCCCCTTCCAGTTGCAAGGGTGGACATGGGCCTTCCTCAATCTAATGGAAGAAAAATGAGATCTTCCCAATCTCTAGTCACTACATCAGATTTGATTGGGATAAGAGAATGAAACAACTTTTTGAACCTCGTGTTTAGAAAACATTAACTCCTCTCCACTGTCTTCATTCTCAAGACATTTAAATACTGTTTTCCTTATGGGGTGTTTAGAAGAGTTAGCCTGAGTTGCACTCATCTGTGGAAATGCATTATAAATTATTTGCCATTTCTTTTCTTCATGAGCATATTTGACATTTTATCTAGTCTTAACTGAACTAGAAGTATGAACGTGGATGAGACCCAGTGATTTATATGGGATTTGGCAGGAAATACAAATAAATGTTGCAGTGTTTTATTTCTTAAAATTGGCCTAGTTGACTTTCATTTGACTTTCATCATTGAATTTTGTCAGGATGATACATATTTCTGTTTTGTGCGTCAAGTGACTGGATTTAGTTTTCAGGCCTTTGTGTTGTGGCATCTTTTGAGTTATCTATGCAGACCTGCTACATGGATTTCTTCTTCCTATGTTGTCAAAATAATTCTGCAAGTCCTTGCAGAATTGTATCCCCAACTCTTGTAGGGACTTCTTTTTACATATGTCCCAGTTTTCAGGTTATTCTCTTCCAGTGAAAGAAAATGAAACATTGAATAGTGTGAGAGTCCCCTTCTCTGCTGTAGATTGAAGATATCCTTTATTCCCTGGAATTTCTTATTTTATCCATGTTGTCTTTTGTGTTTTCTCTGGAGATCCTATTTACTCCCTTAAGTGGAAGGGCCGGTTAGCTTTATTTCTATAATATTTTAATCCTGCTTCTTGGAGCAAGTTGAAGGAACTATCCAGTTTTCAAGATATTGTCTGCCTTTGTAAAAAAGAAATGTCATGGTAATTCCAATATTCTCTTCCTTACCCCTGCAGTAACATTTTTCACAGCTAGTTGGTGTCATGACCTAGAATCCAATTTCTCATATTTGATTATTAGGTCATTTTGATGGAGTCACGGAAAGAGGAAAGAAGAGAATCAGAAAGCATTGCAATGCAGAGATGATGAAAGATGGCCGTCACTATCTTTGCTGGGAGACACATTTTACCTCTCTTGAATTCTAGGGCAGAGCATGGTGTGTGTTTCTGGGAGGGTCGGAAGGTAAAGGGGCTGTTCAATTTGTCTTTCCCTATTGCTTTTTTCACCATCCCAGAAAAATGAGGGGTCCTTGGTGCTCTCTGAGCTTGATTGTTTTCTTGCAAGATGTTTCATTACCTAAACTAGGAAACACCATCAGAGCTCTGATGATGTTACAGTGGTACTTAGAAACTCATCGTTAATTGGTTCCAGGAGACGCGATGAATACCAAAAACAATGAGTACCAAATAAATTTTTCCTGTAAGGAATAATGTAGTCAGTCACAAGGCAACTGACACTGACAAGTTCTAGCTTGTACATTGAGTACTAAACAAACAATGTCCCAGAACAAAATTTCTGTGCCATAATGCATTGAGTACCAAATTCGATGAGTTTCAAAGCAGTTGAGTATCAAGGTACCACTGTACCTAGTCTGAGTAGTGAAACATTTGCAAGAAAACAACCAAGCTCAAAGAGCACCAAGGACCTCTCATTTCAACCCTGAAATACAAATATTCTCCTTTATTGGTACCAAAGGAAATTGGTTTAAAACTGGCTTAAACTGGTTGAGTAGCTGCACTGCTTCATTCAAGCTATAGTCTTCTCCTGATTATGCATCTTTTCTCTCCAGCATTGTGTGGTGGGGAGCTCTCTGAGCCAACAGGTGTTGTACTTTCTCCTGACTGGCCCCAGTCTTATGGAAAAGGTCAAGACTGCGTATGGGGCATCCGGGTGCAGGAGGAGAAGAGGGTGCTGCTAGACATTGAGATGTAGGTACTTTTGCTACTGTCACCATCAATACCATCCCATTTTCATGAGGGAGGCCTCTCAACTCAACCAAAGCAGTGTGTCCTCATGGTCCCTGAAACCATCATCTATCGTTAGATTTATGGTTGTAATCATTCATGCCATCGACATATGGAAATATGTCTGTGTACTTTGAAGATAATCTCCTGTGACAAATAGGATTCCTACTTAGAGGTCATCAACCAGATGATACAGCAAGTTCCTTAGGAAAGCCTAGATGGTGAAGCATTTTAAAACTTCAGTGCAAGAAAGAGGGAGTTACCTTTAAACTAGTATTTCTGCTGCTAGATCTAATTATTTTCTGTTGAATAGAGCTTTCCAAGTTAGACTAAAATGACAATAGAGGACATGGAACAGAAGGAGGGGATTATTTAAGTCCCCTCTTAGAATCATTTCCCTCTCAATGATTCTAAAAATTTAGAGACACAAGAAAGCTTGTCCAAACCAACAAATTGAATTCATATGTGTGTCTGCAGCCACATAATAGTAGAATCATTCTGGGGAGCCATTAAGTCAAGAGATGTACGCTCAATAGTTTGAAAGTTCTCTACAAATGACGGTAACATTAGTATAGTGCAGGGGTTTTATGACTCGTGGACTTCAACTCCCAGAATTCCTGAGCCAGCCATGCTGAAGGGAAAGGGAGAGGTTTCCAAGCTGAGCCATGCTGGCTCAGGAATTCTGGGAGTTGAAGTCCACGAGTCATAAAAAAGTCAAGGTTGCCTACCCCTGGTATAGTGATATTTTTAAAAAATCCTGGACATTTTACACATATGTATGGCTAGGCATTAGATATAATGTATTTATCTGATATCCCTCAACAGTCTTCAGAATCATTCTAGGTAGTATACTAGACAATTGAGGTAAATTAGTACAGGAACACAAGAACAGAAAGAGGACTAGGCAGCCATTTGTAATCTTTGTTTCAGGCCAAAGTTCTGCTTGAAATGAATGCTCTTAAGTTCCCCCTGAAGTCTCAGAGGTCGAGGTGGTGGTGGTCATGTGTGTGGGTGCAAGATTTCCACAATACAGGATCAGCTACAGAAAAGTCCTACCTTTTGATACATACCCTTTTTACTAACACGAAAAAGGAGCCTTCAGCAAACTGGTTCTTCCATTTCCATTGTTAAGCAAAGCAGCTCAATTTCACAACCTTTTTGTCATGGTTGTTAAGTAACAACCAATTTAATACTCAATTAAGTGAATCACATGGTTATTAAGCAAGTCTGGCTTCCCCCACTGACTTTGCTTGTCAGACGCTGGCTGGGAAGGTTATGAATGATGATCATGTGACCCAGGATGCTGCAGCCATCCTAAATACACGCCAGTTGTCAAGCACCTGAATTTTTATCACGTGACTATAGGGAAGCTGTGTATGAGTATACTGGTTGTAAGTCTCTTTTTTCAGTGCCATTGTAGCTTTGAATGGTCACTAAACAAATGATTGTAAGTCAAGGACTACCTGTAGTTACACATATTTGAATTGTTCAGTAACCCTAGCATTAGTGTAATTTTGTTTGGTCTGCTGTATATTTTTCCATATCAGAAGTCTGGGTTGCTGACTTTGGTACCACTTGCAGCTTCTGAGTTGTCTTCAAAAGTAATCCTCTGTTATAGTAATCTGGTCAAATGACAGGAGGTTGCTGTGGCTAAGATTTCCTTGTCCAAGTAGGGGCATAAGTGGTATATCAACTGAAGATGTTCAAACAGAGCTTTAAATCCAAGAGGATCTCCAAGGCTTTCTTCTATAGAAGGGAGAGAGGGAGCACAGTCCTATCTAGAACAACCAGCAGAATTGATGTTTCCAAGAAGCCAAGATGTTTACACACACAGAGCACCTCTTAGTAAAGTTTAGTCTGAGCCTGTTTCTCCTCATGCAGTCCAGTATGGCTGCATACACTGTTTCAGATTTCTCCAGTAATGCTGTCCCAGCCTGTGATAACTACAGGCTTAATGGTACTTCCCACATAACTACTGACTAGAATTCTCTATTCAGATTGGAGGAGAACCACAGCAAAGTAGCACCCAAACCCTCAATCCTTCCAGATGATTGAGAAGATACCATGGCTGTTGATACTTAATGTTAATGAGTAATTTAATAAGTCAAGGAGGGACACTCTCCACCAGGTTTTCAATAAAGTGAGATTATGAAAATGCACTTCCAAAGATACGGTTGGTGAAAATGCTCTTACAAGTTGCACTGAACCTTAATAAAGACTATGCCTGAAAAAAAGATGCTTCTGGTTTAAGGAATCCACTCATTAAAGTTAATACAGCAACTGAAGTAGAGAATCTTAAAGCCGGAAAAGAAAGATGTATATGTGAGGTCAAAATAGCAGGCATCCATGATGGTGAATGTGTATGTATGTGTGAAGAACAAACACTGAATTACTTCCAAGTAGTTTCTTTATTGTTGTTTACCTACAGACAGAATCTTCCAGACTAAAGCAACTTTCTATATAACTATAGATATACTTTGTGAACTGCTAGAGGAGGTCTGTCTTTGTCCTCTTCCTGCCTAGCAGACATTCTAAGCTGTGCTGCCTTTTTGCCCTCTGGGATGCAGTCCCTCCCTTCTGTGTCAGCCCTGACGTTCCCTCACAGTGTCAGCCCATTCTGACACTGTAATGGAATGTAGTCTGGAGTCCCTCCCAGGACTCCAGATTACATTCCACCACAGTGTCAGAATAAAGGATGAAATAGGCAATTGAAATCACTTCTTTTTAAAGTATATCACATGCATGCAATAAAAGCGGGGGAGTGGGGGCTTTGACAAGCCAATTGCACCAAATCTTTTAACATTATTTATATCTGTCCCCCCTCTGGGGATCCCTTTAGATCCAAAGCACTAATTCAGAATCATCTTAGAGTGGACTCAGCTTGACCTCTATATTAATATTTTCTTTCACTTTGAGGTTGCAATTTTGCTTACTGGTTGAAGAAAAACCATGCTTGTCTTCCCATCCATTTGTGTGTCTCAGCACTCACTTGCCCTTTAGTTTGGATGCATGAAATAACAGAAATGGGCTGTGGACTCTTTCATTTTTCTTTTCCTCTTTCAACAGTCCTTTCTCTTTGTCTTCTCCTTCCCAATTCCCCTGCTAGCCTCAACATCCGCAAGTCTGATGTGTTGACTGTTTTTGATGGAGGGGACTTAACCGCACGGATCCTTGGCCAGTACCTGGGTCCCCATCCACGGTTCAGCATTTACTCTTCAGGCCCAGCAGTCACCCTGCAGTTCCAGTCAGACCCTGGTGACCCCCTTTTTGGTCTCAGCCAAGGGTTCCTGGTGCACTATAAGGGTATGAGAAAAGGCTATGATATGCTTCGGGTAAACTGAGGGAGAGAGAGAGAACCTGATGTAAATTGATGCCTGTTGACTCATCTTGTGAAGATGGTTTAAGAAGTTAAGCCGTCTTCAAAAAGGTTTCCAAAAGTTGCTCGGTCTGAGAGTGAATGGGAATGTTGTATGATGCATTTGTTTCATATCAGAAACAGAAGAAGGAAAAGGAAAGAGCACAATTGCAGCTGAATAAAGCCAAAGTGATATTTTTGCCTAGTTGTAATTTTAGCAGCAGTAGACTGAAGAAGAAAAGGGACAGAAGTTTTGCTTCAATGCTGTTCAGGAGGACAGTATAAAGTTTAAATATAGAGTATATTCTTTTTTGGCAGTGTCATAGCAGTATTCTTGTAATCATGCAACTGGGTGTTAGTTGGGGATCGTTTAATTTGGATTTATGAACAGGGCTGCTGGTCTTTTCTGACAGTATGATTGTACGAGTTGCTCGTACAGATGAACCCCTGACATAAAGTAGAAAAGTGGAAAAACAGAAGTGAAATTTGATGAGGAAAGATAGAACAGTACACTGATGATGTTACTAGTTTGGTAATGAAATGCCTGCAAGAAAAAAAAAAAAACCAAGCTCAGAGAGTATCAAAGGCCCCATAGTTCAACCATGAAATACAAATATTTTCTTCTGTCAGACAAGACAGTGCCTGGCAGAAGGTAGTCCTTACATCCTCTCCTCCCCTCCGCTCCCCTCCACTCCCCTCCTCTCCTCTCCCCTCCTCTCCTTTCCTCTTCTCACAGAGGTTCCTCAAAATGACACTTGTCCTGAGCTGCCAGAGGTGGAATTTGGTTGGCGTACAGCTTCTCATACCGCTGTTATCCGTGGCACAGTCGTAACCTACCAATGTGAGCCAGGCTATGATATTGTGGGATCTGATATTCTCACCTGCCAGTGGGATCTATCATGGAGCAACAGCCCTCCTACTTGTCAGAAAAGTAAGTCTTTCTGATGCTAAAACAGGTGGTAAGGATGCTCCACATTAGGACTTATCTAAGCATGAAGAAGGCAGTGTGAAAGACAATGGGAGGCAGGTGGAAAAGGGGGAGAAGTTTAGTGGGTGTGAGAAGAGGCACACAACTCAGAGGTGGGAGCTGTGGGAAGAGAACAGTCAGAGTGACTATACCTTGCTGTCACTCTGACTGGAGGCTTACTTTTACATTTTTCAAGATTATGTTGTTACCCTAACTACCAGTGTTTCCCTGAAAATAAGACCCAGTCATATATTTTTTGCCTCCAAAAGAGGCATTAGGTCTTATTTTGGGGGGATGTCTTATTTTTTCCCACTGCCTCGCCTCACGACAGTGGCAGAAACAGCCCCATCTAGCAGGAGCCTGCGTGGTCACTGCCAGCCCACTTCTTCTGCAGCTGCTCGCCGCCACTCGTGTGCGTCACCCCAGCCTCCGTTTCGCTTGCAGAGATCTTCAGGAAAGGCCTCTGCAGCCCAGAATGGGCTGTTTCACCTCTGTACTTGGCTGCAGAGGCCTTTCCTGAAGGCCTGTGCTGGCAAAATGGAGGCAGGGGGAGACGCGTGCAAGCAGTGATGAGCGGCTAAAGAACTGGGCTGGTGGCAGCCATGCGGGCTCCTGATAGACTCAGCTGTTGGTGCCGCCACCACAAGGTGAGGCAGGTGTTGGGGCAGGTGGGAGGCCTGGCTGCGGGGTCCTAAGGTAAGTAGGTGAGGAGCATGTGGGGCAGCTCCACCCTGTTCCCCACCTGCCTTCCCTCATCACGAACAACCAGATGGAATGGGCGGGGGGCCAGCCGCACAGGCTCTTAAGTAGGGTTTATTTTGGGGGTAGGGCTTATATTAGGTGCACACGTAAAAATCAAGCTAGGGTTTATTTTCAGGATAGGTCTTATTTTTGGAGAAACATAGTAGCATTAAACCAACTAGCATTAAAAATGTCTTTCACAAATCCACATGGTTCTTATTTTTTGTGGTTGCCAGCTGTGTAGAGCATATTATGTGGGGGGGTGGAGAATAGACTAAATTCTGTTGAAGGAAGAACATTTTGGACATAATATGTCCAGAATTGCCTGCTATATGAGGGCTGGGATGAAGAGTTTTTTTAAATGGGTTTTATTATAGAATGGGTTTTTTAAATTTTATAAGCTGTCCAGAGTCACCTATATGCAAGTTGGGTGGGTATATAAATTTATATATAATTAAAATAATTAAACATAAGCGTGGACCACTCTGATGCATTGTTTTAGACTTCCTAAAAGGAGAGCTTTTGGTCTATCATTTGCAGTTCTAGTCTTTGTGTCACTCTAGAAGGAAAGTTGAAATATTCCCAGAGTAGAATGAAACTCTAGAATGCCCACATAGCCAGATATGATTCCTGTATTGAGAACCAGAGGGAAATACAGAGGCCTCTGCTTATACTTTAACTACACCTTCTCTTTCCCCAAGTTATAAATTGTGCTGATCCTGGAGAGATTAGCAACGGCAAACGAAGCGTCTCAGACCGACATTTCTCCATCGGCTCTCATGTCCAGTACTTCTGCCATGAAGGCTACGTAGTGGAAGGGAGCAACACGCTCACCTGCTACAACCGGGATACGGGCACCCCTAAATGGAGCGACCGGGTCCCGAAGTGTGTCTGTAAGTAAAAGAGACGGAAGGAAAAGGCACATGGAACGGAGGGAGCTAGAACTGTGAGGGTCTTTAAAGCAGCAAAGTACAGGAGGGTACATTTTGACAAGAGCTTAGCTCAGTGATGACAAACCTTTTAGAGACCGAGTGTCCAAACTGCAACCCAAAACCCACCTATATATCACTGGGTGCCAGGTGGGTATGGCCCACTCAGCAGGTGGGCTTGGCAGACTGGGTGGGTATAGCTACTGGATGGATGTGGCTGCAGTGGTCATGGCAGATTGGGTGGGTATGGCCGGGGTGGGCGTGGCCACCTTGATATTGCTTATGATGTTGCTTATGTTGCCATTTTGATGTTGCTTATGTCCCTTATGGGGAGGGACACCTGTGCGAGCCGGGCAGGGTTGGGGGAAATCCAGGGGGTCTCTGGCGGGTGGGATGGTGGGCTCCCTAATGGCGGCTCCAGGCTGGCTGGCCCTAGGCCAGTGATGGCAAACTTTTAGAGACCACGTGTGCTGGGGCGATGGCACGTTCTCACAGAGAGGGCTCCGCGTGCCACCTCTGGCACACGTGCCATAGATTCGCTACCACTGCCTTAGCTGGTCTGTCTGGCTATAGGGAGTTCTTGACTTCTGACTGGTCACTTAACAACTGTTCAAAGTTATGGTGAAGCTATCTTGAGGCAACTTACAACCTGGAGTCAAAGTTTGGAGAGTCCCCTCCCCCACAGTCACGTGATGAAACATTGGAGGCTCAGCAACATGGCTGCATTTACAGCCATATGCAATATCCTGCCCTCACAGGATTGCATTTTATGATGGTTTTCTCAAAACTGCATTTTACGTCTGGTTTTTGGCAAAACTGCACCCATTATAAACCATTGGTTCACTTAATGACTGCAATGCTAACTTAACAACCACGACAAAAAAAGTAGTAAAATTGGGACGCTTATTTCACTTGTCTGTTTTATGACCATCATCACCATGATGGGTGGGCTCCAATACAGTCATAAGTTGAGGACTATTTGTATTGGATTTTTCTTTGTGTGATCCCCTCTAATTAATATATGGCTCACTCAGTTCAGTATATTTTTATGTGTTTAAACAGAAATTATGCCCATTTCTCTAAGGATATCAGAAGCAGGAAATATATCACTGATACCGTAGAACAAGCTTGCCAAAATACTAAACAGCACAAATGCACTTTTAAATTCCTGTATCACATACCTACTTAAAGAAATATCTACACACTAAAGTCATGTATGACTAATTAATCTTTCCATAATCCTATCAGAATCAGACCAAGTTAAAATGGTCCTTGAGGTTCTTCTGCATGTTGAGATGGATATTCTTAAGGATGGCTGAGTATCCTAATTCACAATAAAAAGTTATGTTGGTCTTAGTCTTGAACACAAAGTCAGGATAGTACATGACCTACTGAGAGATTCAAAAGAAAAATAAGATTCCCACATTATTCTTCTATTGACTATCTTAACATATTTTCTAAATTGAATGAATAGAATAACAGAATAACAGAGTTGGAAGGGACCTTGGAGGTCTTCTAGTCCAACCCCCTGCTCAGGCAGGAAACCCTACACCATTTCAGATAAATGGCTGTCCAGTCTCTTCTTAAAAATTTCCAATGTTGGAGCATTCACAGCTTCTGGAGGCAGGTTGTTCCACTGGTTAATTGTTCTAACTGTCAGGAAATTTCTCCTTAGTTCTAGGTTGCTTCTCTCTTTGGTTAGTTTCCACCTGTTGCTTCTTGTCCTGCTTTCAGATGCTTTGGAGAATAGCTTGACTCCCTCTTCTTTGTGGCAGCCCCTTAGATAATGAAACACCACTATCATCCCTAGTTCTTCTTTTCATTAAACTAGACATACCCAATTCCAGCACCCGTTCTTTATATATTTTAGCCTTCAGTCCCCTAATCAACTTTGTTGCTCTTCTCTGCACTCTTTCTAGAGTCTCAACATCTTTAGAATGAAGCTCATTGTCCTCTGGATATCTTTACTTATACCAGAGGTGGGCAATTAATTTTACCCAGGGATCACATGAGAAACTGGGACTGTTGTGGATGGTTAATCCAATAGACTGAACTTAATTCTGCTCAATATTAATTTTATTGCTTTATAAAAAGCAGTAAATTATAGTTTTGATTAGCTGCTACTGGTAGGAATGCATGTCTTATTTCCATGTTATTTCTAACTTCTGATTGATCTCACAGAGGCCAGACAGGGACAGTCAAAGGGCCAGACATGGCTTGGGAGCCATAAAATGCCCAGGTCTGACTTATAATGTCTCCTCTGTGAATGGTAGGCAACCTGTGGCCTCAGGGCCAAATGCACTCCCTGAAAGTCTTCGTTACCCCATTTCCTTTTTCCAGTGAAATATGAGCCTTGTCTGAACCCCGGAGTTCCAGAGAATGGGTATCAAACGCTTTACAAGCATCACTACCAAGCAGGGGAATCCCTGCGCTTCTTCTGCTATGAGGGCTTTGAGCTTATAGGGGAAGTGACGATCACCTGCATACCAGGACATCCATCCCAATGGACCAGCCAGCCACCCCTCTGCAAAGGTACGGGTCCCTTTCCTCGTCCTGTGTGGCTTTCACTCACTATTTTGTGACCCTCTGTTTTGTTTGCCTGACATTTTTTTTAAATAGTCCCTTGGTCTCTTTCTCCCCACCAGTGGCCTATGAGGAGTTATTGGATGACCGGAAACTGGAAGGTGAGTGGGAAGAAGTTTGGGAAGGGATTCTGGGAGGGTGACAAACATTATCCTTCCTTCCTTCCTTCCTTCCTTCCTTCCTTCCTTCCTTCCTTCCTTCCTTCCTTCCTTCCTTCCTTCCTTCCCTTCCTTCCCTTCCTTCCTTCCTTCCCTCCTCCCTCCCTCCCTCCCTTCCCTCCTTCCTTCCTTCCTTCCTTCCTTCCCTCCCTCCCTCCCTCCCTCCCTCCTTCCTTCCTTCCTTCCTCCCTCCCTTCCTCCCTCCCTCCCTCCCTCCTTCCTTCCTTCCTTCCTACCTTCCTCTCTTCTGCTCAGACAGCAGGAAGAAGTTGTAGCTAAGGGGACTAAGTGTGCCAGACCCTATCCCAGACCTCAATAACGTATGTCTTATGTCCATTTGATAGGACCACTGCAATGTGCTCTAAATGGGACTGTCTTTGGAGACAATCTAGAAGCTGTAGCTGGTATAAAATACAGCAGCAAGATTTTTGCCAACACAACCATACCAAAATAGAATTACATAGATAGTACAGTGGCTGCATTAGTTGCCAATAGACTTCCAAGCTCAATTTAAAGTGCTGGCCATTACATTTGACCCTCTAAATGGTGCATCACTAAAATACTTCAATTGCTAGAAGGTAACCTGCCCATCTCATCCCCTGATTCAGAGAAGGCTGCAAACCTTCCCCTCTCAAGGACCGTGGGTGAGACATCTGGTTCTCTCTGTAGTAATTCCCACCCTGTGGAATATTCTTTCCCAAGAAATGCATGTAGCTTCCACCTTGCTGAAATTCTAGAAACAGGTTAAGTATGTTTTATTTTAATGATCTTTCAAACTCAGCTGATTGACCGTGGGCACCTAACTTTCACAGTTCTCTTTGCTTTTTGTGACTGTTTGGGATCTTTGACAATGTTCTAATTTACTTATTGTTATACTTTTGGGTTTTTTTGGTTCATTTGGGATTGGGGTGGACTATAAATTCTGAAAAATAAAATAAAATAAAAAGTTCAGGGTGGAGCGTTTAATACATACATCTCATACATTCCATTTTTTTTCTTTCCTCTTGTAGTCACCCAGACCACGGATCCTTCCCACCAGATGGAAGGTGGCAACATTGCCCTGGCAATCTTCCTCCCCATGATTCTTGTCATCCTGCTGATTGGAGGCATCTACATCTACTACACTAAGTGAGTGATATCAAACTAATTTATGTTTGCTTTGCTCAGTGGGCATCGATGTGCCATTAGATTCTGTGGGTTGATTCCAGTTAAGTTGCATTTTATTTTATTACTATTATTATTATATTTTATTTTATATTTTATTTTATTTTATAATTTATTTTATTTTATTTATTTTATTATTTTATATCTCTATTATTTAGCCCATCTCCCCTACAATGTGACTCTGGAAGATAGAGATATTGTTTAATTGCAAATAGAGACGAATTGGAATTTAATTCCATTTGGAAGTTTTTGATCTGAAAACCCTGCGCACAATTCAAATTCTCAGGTGCAAGGAGACAGTTATAATAATTTGTCTTCTTAGTGATGTTGGAAATGCATTTTGCACAGAAAGGCAGCTTTTTGATTATAATTTTATTCAGGCTTTCCAAGATTAAACTGTAGCATAAAAATGTATTCCAGTCATGAACTTGAGTTACCTTGTTTGATATGAATACTTCACTGCTTTTAATTAAAACAACTTGGGCGCAAATAATGCCTTCCCAACATACATTTAAAAGAGGAAAATGACTCAGTACTGCAATTGTATAATCAATTCAAAACCAAGATCATTGGTATATCAAGTTATAATAAAAGCTCCCCATATATGGCCAGAAGGAGCTTTGATCCTGCAAATCAGCAAGTTTAAGTTTTACCGCTTTCTAGAACAGGGATCCCCAATCCCCGGGCTGCAGCCCATTGCCGGATCTTGAGCCGTTTGGAACCAGGCCGTGGAAGTCTCCCCCTCCCAAACACACACTGGTCCACAAAGCCAAAAAGATTGGGGAACTCTGTTCTAGAAAGTATTAATCACTGTCCATACCTGCCATTAAGCGTAGCTAGAGTAATCTACTGAATGTTTATCAGTTGTTTCTTTGAATGGCCCTGGTCTCAGATATAAAATGAAGTCAACATATGAACAAAAACGCGATTGATGATTAATTTTGTTGTGACAGATATGGCTAGTGCTTACTAAATATGTAAAGCAAAATGTTGATGCTGTAATTGTATTTTGTATTTTACTGCAACCAAAAAAAGTTGGAAGTCACTTTTCCCCCCTTTTACCTTGCATTCCTTTCTTTTCTTTACCTTCCTCCATTCCCTCATTATCTTTTCTTCTCTTTGTATTTTATATTATAATAAACTTGAATAAAACTTTTTAAAAAATTAAAATGTGATTGAAATGTTGGATGGGCACAGAACGTAGGAAGCTGCTTGATAGCTAATCAGACGCAACTGGTTGATCTAATTCTTTCAGAGAAGGTCTTTGCATCCAAAGATGCTGATGACCAAATCTGAGCCATTCAAATGCAAAGTATATAATCTCCTCCACTGGATTACTTCTGTAACAGACAGTACGTGGAGTAATGCCATTAAAATGGATCTGATTTTCCAAACTGGTAGGCTGATTGTTTCAATCCATTCTCCTCTTCTTCTTCTTCTTTTACTTTCCTGCAGATTCCAAGGAAAAACTCTCTTTGGCTTCTCCTTTTCCAGCTCTCACAGCTACAGCCCTATCACTGTGGAATCTGATTTCAACAATCCTCTCTACGAGGCTGGGGTGAGCTGTAGACGCTCAGCCAAGCCATTGTTCTAGAGTGCCGATTTTTTAAAAAGAGGGTTGACTTATTTCAGTTCCTCATTTCTTCCTCTCTCACTGCTGTTTTCAACCTATTGCAATCCTACTGCAATTCTGTACAGATTTTGGGCTGTAAAATTAAAGTCAGCCACTGTATATTGAAAGGGATATAGCCTTTCCCACCCATACTGCCATCAAGTGCTCATCTGGCATTTTGCAACCTGGATGAGTTCATTAACAGATTTTCTGCTGTTTCTCCAAACAAGAGACCACATTTCTGCTGGTTTGAGGGAAGGTGTACAGTTTTGCCCATTTCAACACTACAAGTAGTCCTCGACTTACAACAGTTCATTTAGTAACTATTCAAAGTTACAACGGCACTGAAAAATGTGACTTATGACCAATTTTCACACTTACGATCTTTCCGGCATCCCCATGATCCTGTGATCAAAATTCAGATTTTTGGCAACTGACTCAAATTTATGACGTTGGCTGAATCCCAAGGTCACGTGATCCCCTTTTGCAACCCGACAACCCGACAAGCAAAGTCCATGGGGAAGCCAGATTCACTTCAGAACTGGGTTACTAACTTATCAACTGCAGTGATTCACTTAGCGACTGTGGCAAGAAAAGTCATAAAATGGGGCAAAATTCACTTAACAAATGTCTCGCTTAATAACAGAAATTTTGGGTTCAGTTGTGGTCATAAGTCGAGGACTACCTGTACTCCCTCCAGTAGCTCCACATGCTGCCAGCTGTGGTCAACAAAGGCCCCCATTAGAGTTGGGAGAAAAGGAGACCACGCTAAGATGAATTCTGTTTATTTACTTAACCATGATTTACTGAATTTATCCTCTTTGGTGGGTTGGCACATGGGACCCTAAACAGACCAACCGTGCCACAGCGCATGAAGATGATCTTCTGATGTTTGGGTAATTCAAAGTCAACTAGGTGAAAGAAAAGAGCTGGTGAGATTCTGTCCCTGGAATAAAGTGATTTCCCCCCCCCCTCTTTCTGCTTAACAGGACACCAGAGAATACGAAGTTTCCATTTAGAAGATGTTATGAGATCTGCCATTCTTCTCCCAAACCCAGCAAGGTCTAGGAGCAGCGACTGAGAATGATTCCTGATTTGGAGGGAATAGTGGAAGGTGGTTATTGGGAGGGGGCAAAGGGAAAATGGAGGGGAGAGAAGGAGTTTATCCTTTCTACCCCACAAATTCAGCTTTATCTCTTCTTCTCCATGTTGCTGCCTGACTGTCCACTCTCAGCTTTGGACCACTCCCTTCTCCCGTGTAAATACCCTCTTCAATGTGCCAAATGTGTTTCTCACACACACACACACACAAATACACTCACAGTGTTATTATTATTCTGCTTTATCTGTTCATTTTATTTCTCTATTTATTTATTATGTTATACTTTTCCTCTTCCTTCATTTTAATGACCACTTCCCATGTGGTTGAAAAAGGAGGAGAGAATTCATCCCTTCTTCCATACTTTATCACTCACTCTGTTTTTAAGGAAGTGGGCCTGAGTTCTAAAAGGTGCTGCTATTGGAAAAAGTATCTCTGTAAACAAGGTTTTACAGTAGGATCACTAAACCGCAATACATGTGGCTTACCACTAGGAGATATATTTAATCTTAAAATCAGTGGCAAATGGATGAGGGCAACAGAAAAAGCCAAATACTGAGAGACATTAGAAAAGATATCGATCCCTAATTCTTAATGTGGAAGCAAGTCTCATGTTGTTCAGAAGAATTTACTTTCATAAAATTGGGAATACATTAGATAACCATGGAAATATAAGCAGGGTGATAGAACCATTGACTTTAGCTGTTCAGATTATACACCATCAGAGTTTTACAAGTTCTGGGTGCTGCAACATGCCCAATCAGAAAGGAACCAGGCTTCAATTTTAACGGATTTGTGGGATATAATAGACATATTGGATGTAATAGATACACTTTCTCCTCTATATTACAGAACACCAATACCTCCAGGAATAGATTGTCAGGTGTTATAGGGGCTGTTGAAATAATCTACAATGACAAAACAATGTAATTGTTTTACCAGATTTAGCTGTATTTTCCTTTTTCGTACCATTAATTTATTTGGCTTAATGCTTCTTACGCCTGTTCTATGCTTTGCCTAATGTTACTTACCCCCAAAATGGAACAGTGTGATGGGCATATATGTATGTATGTATATATGTTTGTACAACCCCAGGATTAGGGTTGACACCCAGATAAGCACACGCAGGGGTGCTGCCTATGAAGGGCTTTCTACTTATATTTTAGTTGTTCTTCCTCTAATTTTCTAATATTTAATCCCACCTCTCTGAAAGCAAAAATAGTAATAATAGTAAAAGAAAGCCAACATAATGTAGGTCTTGAAAAAAGAGGCTTGGTAGAACTTCAATGAGCAAGCTTGGTTTTTTTGTAGACTGGAAGACATGGACAACCCATCGTCAATAAATTCATTACTTATTTGTTTGTTAGGCAGTTTATCCCTTCCTTTCTGCCTGGCACAGCTTTCATAGCACTTCCTCCTCTGATTTTTCCCTAGAAAAACTTTGTGATGTTGATTCAACTGGGATAAAAATGAGAGAAGGGGAGTCAACTTCATCCAGTCAACTTCCATGACTGCAGGTGGACTTGAATCTGATCTCCATGATCCTTGTCCAACCCTTTTACCATTAGACCACATTGGCCCTTTATTTACCATATTTTTTAGCAGTACAGAATGGCTGTGCGGAATCACTTTAGTTTTACATTTGAGACTCAAATATATTAAGGGTTGTCTCTAGTTCTACACAAAACTAGAAGACATCCTAGTACAGATAATACATCTTGTTTAGCTATTGTGACTACTAAAAATTAATTTTAACAGTCCCCAAATATTTGGAGGAATAATTGGTAAACTCTTTTGATTCAAGTTCCTCTGGACCTATTTCCCATGAAATTCATATGGCTCTTTAGATATGGAGCAAAGCCCTTGAATAATAAAACACTGGTCTCTAATGACTAGGATCCATATAACTTTTAAAAGATAAAAGTTGCATCTGATAATTTTATGTTGCTTTCAAAGTTAACATTATTAATTTTACATATGCTTATAAGGACCATATTTATTACTTTTTAATTGTACTCTGCAGCCCTTTTAAAATAAAGAAAGTGTATATTTTTCCCATTTGTCTAATGTACTGACCCAAATGATATAATAGTGGAGGTTTTGCAGCCTCTGATTCATCCCAGTATCATCTGAATGATTAAAAAAAAATAGTAGTATAATTATGTCTAGAAAAGATCAATTTTCCTACTTCACAGAATCCAAACAAGAAAAGAACATGCCTGCTTAGTATTAGACAATTGCTTTAAGGATTAAATAGTATTTCAGGATATAAACAGTTTATTGACAGCCTCTCTCGAATTAACAACACAGAAAGCCACTGACTGCCTTGAATTTTCTTCAGGATGCTGAAGTTTTGTGTGGCTCTTTCTTTTAAGTATGACAACAAGAAAGACCCTTAGTGCCAAAATGTATGAAAATAACACTTTTAAAGCTGTTCAAGAGACCTCATCTCTTGAAGATACCCTCTTTTAGGACAAGAGAGCATCTGAATGGAATCGCAATACTCATCTCCCACACGGTAAAGTCTGTAGGAGATGAGAATATCGTACCTAAAGCCACCCAATTACTGCCAGTATGGAGCTGGGCATAAAAATATTACTTTCCAGTCTTTCTCCTATCCCAAATAGTGAAACTGACTTGTTATATCAACTCTTTCCTGGTGGCCAGTCTAGTATTTTGGAAGAAGGTGAAAAGTAATATTTACTCCAGTTTTGTAGATATCCTTCCTCTTTATCATGCTAGGAGGACAGTCCTGACGCATTCCCCCAAATGACAGTGCAATTTCTGGGGAATGCTCTCCTTTGCATTCTTACCATTTATAATTTTATTTTTTATTTGTTGGCCTTTGGTTACTTTCCCCCCACTCCTTCTCATTTGCTTTTATTTTGGAGCAATAAATAAAGTCCATCATTTGTAAAAACTTTGGTGTCTGTACTTCTGTTACAGTCCAACAGGAAGTGGGTGTAGTCTTTGTGTGGCAATGGGTAAGGTTGGCCATCCAGTTTAGCAAAGAAATGTTTAGAGGTAACACACATGAAACGGTACTTTCACATCTGTTTTGGTGTGTGTGTGTGTGTGTGCGCGCGCGTGTATGTGTGTGTGCTTTGTGTTTTGAAACAGAGTTAAGGGGAGAGGCCAGTGGTTAATTGGGTGTTGCAAAAGGTCCAAAAACAAAAGAATATTAACACAGAAACCCAGAGGTTTCTCAGTACTTTTTTAAAGACTTATTCTGATTCTTCTTTCAGGTAACTAGAAATTGCATTAAGCAGCCCATAAGCATAAATAAATACATTTACAAAGCAACCTGTCTCTTTAGCAGAATTTAAAGTGCATTGAGCTAGCAGCCATTTATGGAAAGGAACCTAATCAGCTGCTAATTATTGTGGATTAAAAATGGGAACAGGTGCTTTGTTTGAAATGTTAGCAACACATACTGGCAGTGGGTGGTTCTATAACCACTATGCCACTTGTCTATTTCCGGTTCCTACACCTGTCTTCTGGGCATTCATTTTCACATCATTATTTGTACATGATCTGTGGTGTCCTCGGTGCTCTCTGAACTTGGCTGTTTTCTTGCAGATGCTTCATTACCCAACTAGGAAACATCAGTGCTAATGAGTGGGGTTTGCTCCCTGTTTATACCCTTACTAATACTGATGGTGTTATCTAGTAGGGTAAAGAAATGTCTGCAAGAAAAATAACAAAACTAAGCACCGAGGACGTCGCAGTTCAGCCCATAGAATATTCTATGTACATGATTTGTTAGCTTAACCTTCATAGCCCATGTTCTAGAAAATCATTGGTAAGCCTAGTGACAAACTTGCAGCATCAATAGTTGAGAATGTATTTTTAACTCCATCACAAGCATTTTAATTCAGATTTAAAAAGCAAATGGTTTTGTAGAAAAGTTGTCATCTATTAAGGTAAAATAAAGCCACCTTCGTTGAGATCAAATTCTGGTGATGACACAGATATGTCTACATACAGGTAGTTCCCTTTACAGTCCAGAAGTTATTGCTACTGCCTTGTTGAGGAATAGTTCTGATTTGGCAATTTCCCACTTTAACGTTCAGCTGCTGTGTTCCCTTCGGGTGTTCCAGCCAAACTTGAGTGCTGGTTTCCCTCCTTATAGAACAGGAGTGGGGAACCATGGCCCTTTTATGACTTGGGGACTTCAACTTCCAGAATGGGAGCTGGCTGGCTCAGGAATTCTGGGAGTTGAAGTCCACAACTCAAAAAAGGGCCATGATTCCCCACTCCTGTTATAGAAGATCTCTTATCTATTGAAATCAGAAGCCTATATCAAATAAAACTTTATTCTGTTAAATATCTGCTTGTACAATAAGAATAATAAGGTAATCCTCAACATACAACAATTTTGTTTAGTGACCAAAGTTACAACGGCAGTGGCATACAAGCACCCACACTTAACAACTATTGCAGCATCTCCACAGGCATCGGATCAAATTCAGGCACTTGGTAATTAGCATTTCTTTACAACGGTTGCAATGTCCCGGAGTCATGTGATCATGTGACCTTCCCAACCGACTTCTGATCAGCTAAGTCAATGAGGCAAGTTGGATTTATTTAATGGCTGTGTGATTCATTTTACAGCTGTAATGATTCACTTAGCAACTGTGGCAAAAAAAAATTAACAAGCATCTTGCTTAGCAATAGAAATTCTGGTTCAAGTTGTGATCACAAGCTGAGGACTACCTGTACTGAAACAAAAAGCATATGATATGAAGATTTTGCATAAACTTTGGAGAGGTTGTGTCTTGTGGTAATACCAAGAATATGTCCCTCTGTATCTTATGAATTAATTAGCTTCATATCCATTTCCTTTCCCGATAATATAAGATTATAAAATCCATTCTATAGCAGGAAACTCAGGTTCGTCGCAGGGTTCAACCGCAGAGGAGAAAGATGTAGTCATTATGTTCCTTTTGATTATTGTATCACAGCAAACCACGATTTACCAAAGTTAAAATAAAATATGACTTAGCATAATGTATGAACCCGGACAGTATACTGTGTTGTATCTTAACATATGTGCAAAATTACACATCTTGGCGACAGGTCCAGTTTCTCTTGTGGTAGTGAAAAAAATCATGTTTTTAGCAGAAATTACCTCATTGGTAAAACTTTTTGAAGTTGTGGGAAGCCTCACTCCCCCTCCTAGAGAATTAAATATTCTGGGGAATATTAAAAGAAGCAGAATGTTATATTTCCCTTGTAGGAGAAGAGGAGAGACATATTTCTTAAAGGCAGGAAATAGTCTCAATCTTCCTGCTATATCAGGGGTCCCCAACCTGGTCCATGGACCAGTACCAGGCTGTGGCATGCCAACAATCAGTCCGCACAAACAAGCAAAGCCCCATCCGTGGGATGTAGGCAGCACACAAAACCACGCAGCATCCGGTCCGTGGAAAAACCTCTGTCCATGGAACTGGTCCCTGATGCCCAAAAGTTTTGGGACCTCTGTGCTATAGGAAAAACAGCCTCAAGCAGAAACCTGAAGTCTTTAAGAATGGGGATTTTGTAATCCATTCAGAAAGACTGGGCCACCGCATTCATAAACAAAACGCCTTCAGCCACAGCTCCCACAGAAGGCTGGAGTTGATGGAATTAAAAAAACAAAGACTCCTAAAAATCTACATTTCCCATCTAACTCCAAGGACAGGGCATGACCTCCCAGCCACAATGGGAGTCAGGCAACAATTAGAATACTAAAAGGGCACACTCCAGCACAGGTCAAAGTACATTTCACAACAAACAGGCATCTCAAACACAAAGACCCAAAGAAGGTATAAAAACCCACCTTCTCTCAACTCCATTTTGTCAGCCACCCCAGAAACATGCTGCTGTCACTTTAGTTTCTGGCTATCAAATAAACAGAGATCTCCTTTCCAAAATGCAGCCTGTCTTCAGTTCATTTCTACAGCGTCCTTCTCCCGGCTTGGAACAGGACCTGATTTTTCTTCCAGCAAAGTGCATATTTTTTACAGTATACAGCGGGGAAAGCCACACTTACTTTGTTTTGATTGCAACCATAAGATACATCAGAGTCTACAGCGGGGAGAGCTGCAGTCTCAGTGTTATCTTTGAAAAAGCGAGACTAACAATACAACAAGGCCACAACGTACCAAGATTAGAACTCTGTGGCACCATATTGGCCGTAAAGCTCACCAACTTGACAACAAAGACATTGTGCCTTGAACTACAGTTCACCACCTTCTACGCAGACAGCAAGGTGATGTCACACTACATCTGCAAACAAAGCAGACACTTCTACATCTATGTAGGCAATAGAGTAGAAAAGATTGAAATGTCTTTAAGCCCTGAACAATGGCAACATGTGCCAACAGATAAGAACCTTGTGACCCAAGTTAAGTGGCCCAACCTTGCCACACAATTAACAGAATTGATTTGGCTAAAAGGTCCTGAGCTCTTGGCTTGTCCAAACAGTCTGATGCTACAGAGACCAAAACGCTATATGCTTCTAGCTCCAGATCAACATGCCAACGTTCAACTTCAGGCACCCAGTAAATCTCTCAGACAGGACGAGAAAACGATCATCCACACCATCTGCTTGTCCTCAATGGGCAAAGAGACAGAGAAACTGTTGTGTCCTGAGCCTGCTGAAGTATTCAGCAGGCTCAGAAATGTTGCAAACGGTCCTGGGCAGACCAAAAGCTTCCTGGGACCAGACTGGCTGTCGCCAGCCTTGTGCACATGCGCAAGGCGAAAACAGCCAGCTTCTTATTGGCTGACACTGTCCAGGTTCAGGACTCTATAAAAGGCCTGCATGCCTTTTGGCCCTAGCTTGGTTGTAAGGAGAAGATCAATAAAGAGATTGCTTGTTCATCATGTGTCTTTGTCTAATGCCTGAGAACCAAATACATAAAAGAAACCACTTTCTAGCCAATTCCTAGAACCAGCCAGCTTCAAACCCTCCTCTAAGCGGAGACACCTGAGATTAGGCATAGTATTGATCATCTTGATCACTTGTCAAAGCATTCCAAGAACTAGCTTTGTAAGAGCCTGCAAGGACTTACAGACTATTGAAGGTATTTGTCATGACCCAGTGATAGACAAATGCCCGATGGCCAAAAATTACCTTCTCCATGCATCTGACATGGGCGAAGCATGGGCGCACATGATTGATGCACTCCGCAAAATCATGGACTCTATGTCGATAAAGACACCCATGCCCACACATGAAGTCCTCACTACCCTGATGACAACAGTAGCAGCCATCTTCAAAGCTCCACCTGTGGTTCCAGACCCTTCGGTTCCTGAGCATCCTGAGTCTTCTTCTCCTGTTGTTTCTGAGTTTCCAGCTTCTTCTGTTCCTGAGCATCTTGTGAAGCCAGGTTCCTTTGTTCCTGAGAAATTTTGGGTTCCAGTTTTTCTGTTCCAGATTTGGTTCCAGTTTTTCCTACAGGAAGACGACCTTGTCGTTGAGAGACAAGGATGCATACCAGAACTATTGGCCCATGAGACTTGCATACCAGACCCCACCTAGTTTTGATGGACTAATTTGCCAAGTTGAGGTCCAGATCGTGAAGCCACGTGAGTCAGATCGTGACTCAAAGATTCTTGCACCAGGCTGATCGCCGATTTGGTCCCGTTGCTGACGAAGATCAAACTAGAAGATTGAACCTCAAGCTATGTATTTGTGTTTATGCATTGTTTGATATAACACTTGTTTATTTCTGTTATAATTGTGCATGTTTTATATTATTTATATTATTTATTTATTTATTTATGAGACTTATATATCGCTTTAAGTGCAAGCACTCTCTAAGCGGTGTACACCAATAAGCAATGTATATATATATTTACAATGCCCCCAACAATCTGGGTCCTCATTTTACCTACCTCGGAAGGATAGAAGGCTGAGTCAACCT